TATAAATAAATAATACTTTTTTTATTATTACTTTAATATTTTTAATAATAAAGAAAAAAAAATTAAAAAGGTAAATATTTAATATAAGCTAAAGATAATACTTACCCTTAAAATAATACTTAACTTTAATAATATAAAGATTATTATTATAAAGGATAATATTATTAATATATATTAAAAAGGCTAAGGCATAAAGATTACTCTTATTTAAATTACCTTTCTTAATTAAAAATAATAATATATTAAGTAATAAGCTTATAATGCTTATTTAGCTTTTATTTATTAATTAAAAGCTATATTTAATTTATTTATAATTACTTAAATTATTAATTTAAGTAAAGAAAATTATATTAAATTTAATAAAAGGCTTTAATTTTAAGCTAATTATTTTAAATATAATATATAATATATATTACTTAACTTAATTATAGCTAAATTACTTATTTTTATTAATAATTCTTTTATTAATAATTAAGATTTTAACTTTTAAATTAGCTTTATTATTATTTTTATTAATAAAATTTAAGGCAATAGCTTTATAAAATTAAATATTTATAATAATATTATTTATTAATTTTTTATTAAATATAAAAGAGTTATTAAAAGCATTTTAGTTTTTAAGATTTATAATATAATTTATAAATTTAATATAAGTATTATTTTAATAATTACTTAATATTAAATTATTATTTATTTTAATATTAATATTATTTCTTTTATAATTTATATAAATTTATACTTTTTATATAAATATTTAATTAAGCTTAATATAATTAAAGAAAAATGCCTTATAATTAACTTAATAATATTTTAATAATTATATAAAAAATATAAGATTTTTAAGATTTAATAAATTATTAATAATTATAACTTAGAAAAATATGCTAAATAAAATTCTTAAGTAATTAATAATTATTAATAAAATTATAATTAAGGTATAAGAATATATTAATTAAGGATAATTATTTACTTAAGTAAAAAGAAAAAGTATATTAAGGCTTAATATATTGCTTATTATTAAGGAAAATATTCAAATAAAAGTTAATAAAAGTTAATAAGTTAGGTTAATTATAAATAAGGTTGCAAAGAAAAAATTGCTAAAGCAACTTAATCTTTACTTTTTGTTACGGTTTAAGCTTTGCCCATTATAATTAGTTAATAGGCTTTGGCCCTATAAGAATAGGCTTTGGCGCGGATGCAAACGGGAAGTAAACCTTCTCCTCTATACTTTAAATATAAACCCCATTTAAATACCTTATAGCAAATAACCTAAGGCTAACTTATAATATATATTTAAAGTCCTTTTATATTATAAACTTATAATATAATTATATAAAACTTAATATAATAAGATTTAAAAAAAATAATGGCAACCCATTAAGCCCTTCCTTATTTAAAGGAACTTTCATCTTAGGAATACTTAATAACTTAGCTGGTAGAGATAAGGGCTAAGTTTATAATAAATAGGGAAGTAATTAGCGCTAAAAAGGCTTAATTCTTTTATATATTTAATTAGCTAAGAACTTTCCGCAATTAATTTTTATTTTATATTAATTTTATAAAGATATTTAAGGAGTAATTAAAAAGCTTTTTAAAGAAAGTTTACTTTGCGTTTAAGGACCTTTTTAAGCAAAGGTATATTAAGTTTAGCTTAATTGCATTGCAATAATGCTGTAAGGAGGGGATAGCAGAATTTCTTACTTAATTTAATTAATTAACTTATATAATAAAAACTTAAAGTTAGCTAAATAAATATAAAATATTATTAATAGCTAATAACTTAATCTTTATAGCAAAAGCCTAGCTTAATTATAAAGAATAGCTAAATATATTTAAGGCCTTTTGCTTTACCTTATAATAATATAAGGGCATTTTTAATGCTATAATAAAGAAGAATAATACTTAACCTTAAAATAGCAAAGCAATAAATATTAATATTATAATAATCTTAATAAGTAAAGTTAAGTATTTTATATATAGCTAACTTAGTTATTATAAGCATAATTACCTTAATTATTATAAAAGAATAAGGATATAGCTTTTATTAACTAAGGCTAGTAAGGGGGAAGAGTTTATTTAAGGGGGCGTAAAATTTTTTTTATGGGATAGGGCTTAAAAGCAATGCTAGCTTAACGCTGGCCTAAGCTTAAAGCAAATTAACTATATATTAACTAATTCAGCCCTATAAAAACGCTTAAAATTTAGGAAATTCCTGTTAATAAAGTAAATTACCCATAATTAAGCATTAATTAATTATAAATTATATAATAAATCCATGGTTTTAAAATTTTAAGTAAAAAAGCTTATATAAAAGGCTTATATTAAAGAATTATAAAAATGCTATTAATTTAGCCGCTAGCTTATATTTAAATAATTATTTCTTATTAGCTTGCTTTAGCTAGCATATTAAATTATAAGAGCTAAAATGTATTAATTATAGATAATAGGCTAGGCTTTTAACGTAGTTAAAAGGCGCCAAGGTATAATTAAATAGCTGGGCAAAGAGCAATATTTAATTTGCAATTAAACTATAGTATCCTTTATTTTTTATTATATAGCTACCCTTTAAGGCTCGCCATAAGGACTTGGAAAAGGAGGATATATTATAATTTAGGCTTTATTTATTATAATTAATTAATGAGCTTTAGCCCTATAAGAATAGGCTTTGGCATAGATATAAACGGGAAGTAAACCTTTTCCTTTGCACTTTAAATATAAACCCCATTTAAACACCTTACGGCAAACAACCCAAGGCTAGCCCATAACACTTTTATTTAATAAAAGTATATAAAACTAGTAAAAGTTTAAATTTCCTTTTTATTAATTAATTATAAATTACTTTAAGAAATAATATAATATAACTTATATTTAAAATTACTTTCCTTTTAAGGGCAAACCTTATAGCTAAGATTTTTATAATAATGCTTATATATTAAGGGTTTAAATAATAAAGATTATTATTATCTTATAAGCACTTAAGTTGCTAACTTATATTTAATAATTGTTTTTAATTAAATTTTATAATTTAATACTTATATATTAATTTTATATATATTTTTATTTATTAACTTAATTAATATTAAATTATTTCTTAATAATTCCTTATATTTAACTTTTTTTTTATTTAAATACTTTATTTATTAATTTTTATAACTTATTTTATTTATTCTTTCTTTATAATTAATTAATCTTTATTTAATTATAAAAATTAAATATAATTAAGCTTAAGTTAAATTAAATTAAGGCATATTATTAATTAAAAATTAAATAATAATATTATTAATTTAAGGGTTTAATTTAATTCTTATTTAACTTAAGCATTATAAATAATAAAAGCATAAGTTTATAAAATGCATTATAAATAAAATATTTATATAATAAAAGTAATAATTTATATTTATTAATTAATATAATTAAGATAATTTACTATATATAACTATTAAAATAACCTTTATTTATTAATTATGCATTTTAATAAAATAATTAATCTCCAACCCCTTAATAATAACTTAAGCCTTTTTATATACTTACTTTTTATAAGTATTTAATATAATTAAATAAGTATATATTTTTAATTAATTTCATTAATTAATAAATTTAAACTTAATAGCTTTAAGTTTAATTTAACTTTTTTTTATATATATCTTTTAAAGGTATATATTAATTACTTAATTAAAAATTGCTAATATAATTATAAATATGCTATAAGGGGATAGCAGCACTAGGCATAATAGGTACTATGGGCAATTGGCATTAAAGCACCGATAAGCAAGGATTATGTGCGGCAATACGTAACCACTCCTAAATAGTTTATAGCCAAAAGGAGGTTCTGCAGCCTATGGCCGCAACCCTCCTTCCTTTTATATAGCCAATTTAAATACAACCAATCTGCTATTAACTAACATACGTTAACCCAACTAACAAAAGATAAAAATTTAAATATTTAAAAAAGTAAAATTTATATTACCCTTCTTAAGTAATTAAACTTAAAAGCAAGTTTCTTTAAATTATTTAAAAGTTATAATAATTTTAAAGCTTATTATAAGCTTTTAATAATTATAAAAATTTATAATAAAGTTATAATAATTTAATATTTAAAAATTCCCCTTTTAAAGATTTTTTAAAAATATAATTATAAATTATATTTATTATAAATTAAATAATAATATTATAAAATTATAAAATAATAAAGTATAAAGGTTTTTTTAACCTTTAAAATATAATATTTCCTTATAAGTTTATAAAAAAGAAAATTACTTATTTTATATCTTTTAAATTAATCTTAAATAATATTATATAATTTATTATTATTATTATTATTATATTATTATTATTATTATATATATTATTATTATTATTATTATTATTATTATTATTATTATTATTATTATTATTATTATTATTATTATTATTATTATTATATTATTATTATTATTATTATTATTATTATTATTATTATTATTATTATTATTATTATTATTATTATTATTATTATTATTATTATTATTATTATTATTATTATTATTATTATTTTAACTTATAAAAAGCTTTATATAAATAAAAATAACTTAATTTTTTTTAAAAAAGTATAAAATTAAGAAATATTAATATAAAAAGTAGTTTTTAATATGCTTTAAATAAAAATAAATAATTTAATATAACTTATTAAAGCTTTATATTATTTTTAATAAAGTGATAATAAAGAAGCTTTTAAAAGAAAGAAATTTTAATTTTTTAATATTTAATTAACTTTAATATTATTTTTTAAAGTTAATTTATAATAAAGAAATTATTTATATACTTATTATATATATAATTAAAACATATAATATAAATTATTATTATAATTAATATTTTATAAATAATAATAATTAAATTATATTTATATTCTTAAAGTAAAACTAGTTTAAAAACTTCATTGCTATATTACTTTATAGCCCCTACAGAGAGTTGAAAAGACTGCTGTTTAATGTTGCAATAATACATGGGATAAGGTCTGACTACTTGCCTGGTTTGTCACCTGGCTTGTTTTCCGATGGTTCACCGTCCTTGGGCTCAGCCTTGGGCTCGGAATTTCTCGACCGGCTGAGCCACCCGAGCCCCCAGGTCGGCCTGTCGTTGTTGACCTCTTGATGTGGTGCAGGCGTGACCTCACCTAGTCTGTTGGCCTCAGCGGCGCGGAAGTTGTCACGCGCGGCTTCCACCCCGGCCGCCTTCTTCTTTTCCCGCCTTTTGTTCATCATAGCCTTCAACTCCTTCTCTTCATCATCACGAGCCTCGAGCTCTCGAATCCACTTCTGGCGCTTTTCATCGGCCTTTTCTTGCTCTTGCATCTTCCAGTGCTCGCGTTCCTTGTGTCGCTCGGCGCCAAAATACAGACCGCCGGCGACCATGGCGGCGACGGTGAAGCCCTGGGCTATGACACGTGCCCGGAACATGCGCTGGACTTGATTGTGGTCGCCCTTGCGCATGGCACGGTAGGCGTTGGTGAAGGCAGCGACGGTGAGAAGGCATCCTAGAGATGGAAGTTTCAGGCCCTGTCAGGTCGCCGGCCAAAAGAGTCAAGGTGGAACGAAGGCAGAGGGGATGGATGGTAGGCGGGTAGGTGCGAGCATACCGAGAGGCACGAGAGGCTCGCGCTTCATGCGGCCCAAGACCTTCTGAAGACCGCTTTCATTGTAGAATTCCCTGGTAGAAACCGGGCCTGTCAGCCAAAGGCGGCGAGGAGTCGCAAGTGAAACACAATGGTCACACAACAGTGTGGCAGAGCAGAGATATGGGTACTGGGGGAGCTCACTCGTTTTCGTCGAAGGACGAAGGCAGCGGCCGGCCGGATACAGGACTCGTCATGATGCAATGCGGTGCCGCGGGATGCGCCGGGAGCTGGTGGCGGTTGGGTATGGCCAGAGGCGACTTGGATTGACGGAATTGTTTCAGCATGTGCTGTGAGAGCGGTTGTGGTGGTGGACGAGCAAGAGGTGGGGGAGGGGAGCTGAGGATGCAGTGGTGAAGGTAATGAATGATGCCATGGATTTTTGGGAGAGCATGGCCTAACCTGAACAATGTACCTTGGTACCCGGACTACCTAGGTAGGTAACGTAGAGGGCTGCAGTCTGGAGACGCGTCGACGTACGAGATTTAACAGGGCAGCCCGGGGTGCATGGTGTGAGCTTAGCACTGTGCCCCCACACTGACTTTTCAACCACTAACTACCTGCACCACCTGGGCAGGCGCAAAGCTCCGAAGCAGGGAGCAGTCAGGACTCATTCAGTAAGTACTCATCCACGGGTTGACTCACTCGGACGCCGCCTTATTACCCACCCGTGTCCGGTCAGTACGATTAATTGCACCTCTCACTCACTCACTCACTCACTCACTCGCTTGCTCGCCCAATCGCTCGTACACCGCACACCCTGTTGGAAATCGAACAAGACCACCTCAAGCATGCCGGCGGTCGAGCAAGCAAGCGCCAACGGCGTCAACGGCCACGCCGAGAGCAGCAACGGCAACGGCAATGGCCACACGGCGAGGACGCCGAGCATGACGGGTCTGTCCTTGACCGAGTACAGCGCCAACCCCGCGTCGCCGGGCGCTTCATCATTGCCGCCAGAAGACAGGAACGCTCGTATCAGGAAGATCTTGCCGCCCGAGTTCATCCTTCCCAACGGCCACCCGGACTACCTGCGGCTCATCCTGACCTCCAAAGTCTACGAGGCCTGCCACGAGACTTCGCTCTCCCCGGCCGTCAACCTCAGCAACCGCCTCGAGTGCAATGTCCTGCTCAAGCGCGAGGACGAGCACCCTGTCTTCAGCTTCAAGCTGCGGGGCGCCTACAACAAGATGGCTCACCTCGAACCCGGCCAGAGCTGGAGGGGTGTCATCTGCTGCAGCGCCGGGAACCATGCTCAGGGCGTCGCCTACTCGGCCCGCAAGCTCAAGATCCCCGCCACCATCATCATGCCCGAGGGGACACCGAGCATCAAGCACCTCAATGTATCCCGCATGGGTGGCCATGTCGTCCTGCACGGCTCCGACTTCGACGCCGCAAAGGAGGAGTGTGCTCGGAGGGAACAACAAGACGGCCTCATCAACATCCCCCCCTTCGACGACCCCTATGTCATCGCTGGCCAGGGCACCATCGGCATGGAGCTGCTTCGCCAGACAAACCTTCAGAAGCTCGAGGCCATCTTCTGCTGCGTCGGCGGTGGCGGCCTCCTGGCCGGCGTCGGTGTCTACGTAAAGCGTATCGCCCCTCACGTCAAGGTTATTGGCGTTGAGACGCACGATGCGGACGCCTTGACAAAGTCCCTTGCCAAGGGGGAGCGCCTTGTTCTCGACCAGGTCGGCCTGTTCGCGGACGGCGCCGCTGTCAAGCAGGTTGGGGAGGAGACTTTCCGCATCTGCCAGGAGGTCGTTGATGAGGTAGTATTGGTCTCCACCGACGAGACATGCGCCGCCATCAAGGACGTCTTCGAGGACACGCGATCCATTGTCGAGCCCGCGGGTGCTCTGGCTGTGGCCGGCTTGAAGAAGTGGGTCGCCTCGCACCCCTCCAGCGACCCGGCCCGGTCGCTCGTCGCCGTCACCAGTGGTGCAAATATGAATTTTGATCGCCTCCGCTTCGTGGCCGAGCGAGCTGATGTCGGCGCAGGCAAGGAGGTGTTACTGGCCTGCCACATCCCCGAGAAGCCAAGGTCTTTCGCCAAGCTTATCAGTGCCATCCTTCCCCATGCCGTCACCGAGTTCAGCTATCGCTACGCTGCGTCTTCGGGAGCCAACGTGTTGCTCGGCCTGAGTCTGACGGCACCGGCATCTCAGCGAACGCAGGAGCTGCAGGGCCTCTTGCACCGCATCGACTCTATCAGCAGCGAGGAGAATGGCCAATTCTCCGTCACGGATCTCTCAGGGGACGAGCTTGCCAAGAGCCATATTCGATACTTGGTGGGTGGCATCTCCAATGTGCCGGACGAGCGTCTGTACATGTTCAACTTTCCAGAAAGACCAGGGGCCCTCGACAAGTTCCTCAACACCCTGCGACCTAAACATAACATCAGCCTGTTCCAGTACCGCAACTCCGGGGGTGACATTGCCAAGATCTTGGCTGGCATTCTCTGCCCTGACGAGGAGGTAGGAGAACTCGAAAAGTTCCTCAAAGAGATAGGCTATCCATGGGTCGACTGCACCGACTCACAGGTATTCAAAACATTCCTCCGCGGCTGATCCAAGTGCTTGCCATCTCCATCTTTCGGCGGTGCTGAAGCAAGTCGACTTGTTGCTTCTGAGTCATTTTCGCAATCATGGCCGGGACGGCATTGCAGGGCTCGTCGTAGGCTGAGGCGAGACGGGACCCGGTGCCCTGGAAGCACCTCGATAACAGCGCGGTATTCCACCTTTCACACCGAAACCACGTGTCGGTGACCAACAATGGTTGCGGGCGGGCCATCGGAGTGGGTATTGTTGGCGGGCGAACAACCAAGGCGAGTGCCAACCACCTGGACAACGGCCACTTTCCATACCAGCTAGCTGGTTGTCCTGACCTCTATCTCCTCTGTCGGTAGATACTAATCAGAGCATTAGCTACCATAGCAGGTCTGCTTAGTTCAGGGGACATGGCATCTGCGTGTTCCTCAGAGAGTTAGTACATGAGAATCAGAGCATGATCGCCCTTTCTCAACAGACTCGTAATGCCCCGTTAATCTGATGAAACCATCTACTCAGAGGCGCAGGGCAGCCAGACAGACAGTTTTGGGTGCAGAGATATCTCTGGGATATTTTCTTGGTCAATAGATAGCCAGTCAGACTGAAAGCTCGCTCAAGCAGAAGTATTCTCTCTCTATGCAGAGTGTTGTGTAGATGAAGTGCGCCTTACGTCCAAGGTATTCACGTGTTTTCGGAAAATACGAAATCTGGCTGGAAAGCACTCATTTCAATATACTTCCCAGGGGTTCTCGTGGAACTACGGTACGCCCCATACTAGCTAGTCAACTAGCTGTTCCCCTTGTCAAAGTCCCCCGAGGCGCCCGGTCAAGGATCGCTCGTTCACTGCCGCCTGGCCATTTTGCCCGGACGGGACAGGAAACGGCCCATTTTCTGCCAATGGGAAGTTTGGTGTTCCGTCGTCGTTCCAGGAAAACTTTTGCGTCCTGACGGTGCGGTAGATGTCCTACAGAATCAGGCGTCAGCTGCTGACCAGCCTTGGGTGGTTTTTCCCCAGACTAGCATATTCGGCACGGGACAACTCCTGCCACGCCACGCCCCCAGAGCCACGACCTCGACATTGATCTCGGCATCTACAGTCATGGTGCGTGCCAATTGGAGGGGTAAAAGAGACGAAATAGCTTACAGCTGGTGGCTCAGGTGTAGTCATCGCATGGTACTGTTACTTAAATCAGTCACAATTATCTTCAGCCCGCAGGCAACATTAATGGCATGTCACTGTCTCATCCAGTCTGTGGTATTGCAGGGCTGAAGAAAGCCCCTGAGAGGATCCTGGTCCAGCGACCGTGATGGCCTCCCATGGACAGTTTGAGAGGGAGGGCAGATAGACTCTAAGCAACATACCACGATATAATTCTGCGAACCATCAGGACTCGTCGTGAAGCTCGCGTGGCCCGTCCCAAACACAGAAGCTTGTGTGTTCTGGAAGAAGACACAGCCGTCTCGGTGCTTTCTCCAGGACTGATATTGCATAGGATCATTGCCTACAAGCTCGAGCAAACCTGGTAGGGTGCGACGGGTCAGTCACGCCTGGCAAGCCAGTCACCTGACACGACACAAGGGGCCGTGCTGGAATGGGCGTAGTGAACAGCACGATTGCGGGCATGCCGGGACCCGCTCACCTAGGCAGTAGAAAGGTGTATTCACTCGGGCTGCGGAGTAAACGACGAAGTTCTGCCCCGTGGTGGGATTGATAAGCTGCTGTGGCCCTTCGTTTGTGGCAAGCCGGGTGTCTGGTCTACCGTAGGGGACACGTTCCCAGGGCTCATTCGGAACGGATATCATGCGCCTGTCGGTCAGATTTGTGTCGACGGTCCATGGGTCACTCATGTGTGTGATGCAAAGATTGGCCGGCCATGCCGAGGTCTGCTCCTGCCAGCAGGAATAGATGTGGTAGATCTGCTGGTTGTGGATGAAATAAGTCCCGTCAATAGCAAACTGGTCGTACGTATTGAGCTCGCTCTTGAGCGTGAAATCAGCCGACCATGGATCCGGGCCATCGCCCTCGAGGACGAACATGCGGTGGTTGATGGCGGGCTGTTGCTGTCAGTAAACGAGCCCTTTCACGCCTTTGTGAACAGGGACAGAGCACAGGAAGTAGTCGAGGGGCCTGAAGTCCCAGGCGAGTCGCCTGAATCGCCCGGGTAATGCAGACGCCTCTGGGAAACAGGACTTACACAGTTGATGGGGCAAGCGGCATCTTGCAGCGGCGGGGGGTTGTCGAAGTCCGGGGTGGCTGAGAAGATGATGTACCACTTTCCGGAGATGTTGTGGATCTCAGGAGCCTGTACTCTGTCAATGGCCCGTACTAGCTAGGACTCAAGTTCCCCTGCGACGTCTGGGCAAGTTTGGTTGACAATCAGAGAAGCGACCGACCCAAAGATCTGTGGACCACGGTTGACCGGCGTCCTGGCCCCGGGGGTCCGGGCTGAAGACAAGCCGGGTCTCCTGGTTGTCCCAATTGTCTGTCAGGGCTCTGGAGCGCCGGAGGGTGATGTTGTCATTTGTGCTATATGTGAACAAGTACCATTCATCACCGTCGGCCGAGTACCTCGTCACTTGGGCATCCCGAGTCAGTTAGTCATCTCAGTACCAGGTGGGGGAAGGGGACAGCCTACTGTACGGGTCCCCCACATTCGCGGTAAATATGGGATTACTGTATGTTGTGTTTGTCTACATCAAGGCGTAATGCGTCAGTAAAGTACTACGGGATCGCTCACGATGCTATGACCGCCGGGACGGGCAGCAGTAGGGGGAGGGAGAAGTCAAAAGGATGGAAACTTCTCCAAGTACAGTAGTATTAGTGCCCACTGAGGCCGGGTCCCAGCTCTGAGGACCAGCCTTGTTGGGATCAAAGGACTGGCCCTGGACAAGGTTCAAGACCGCGACGGCCAGTAGCAGGGGAAAATGCATCACGGGCTTGTTGCCAGTGTCTGTCTGCTCGCTGAGACGGCGCGATGTAAGACGAGGGGAGAGGGGCTGGGAAGAGTTACCTTGCCGGTCCCCGCAGGCGGAGGGTTGGCAGACAGGGTCTTTAAATATGTGCACCTGGCAGAGCGACCAAGACATTCGAGAGAGAGGCCAATGCTGCCGCGCGAACCACCGGATCACCTCCGTCAACGCGCAGTTGGGCGGACAAGGGTGGGAGGAGGAGACGGTGCGGTGAGCCTGGGAGCCTGGTACTACCTAGACTAATTGTTCACAAGTCGGGGCAACCCAAAGCCACTCGGATCACCCGTTGTGCGTCACATTGTGGTCTGCCCATGACGTTGCAGCCCATGGAGGGAGGAGAAGAAAGGAGCACCAAGCCCAAGCCCAAGCCCATGCCCAAGCCCAGCCAAGCCAGCAGACTGCGTGTAGACTCACTCCCGTAGGTATCTGTCCCCTTTGGCACTGCGGTCCTGTGCGGTGCATGGTAGACTGACCCGCCTGTGGTTGGCAGTCCCGGGACGGCGGGCAGTTCATCCCCACATTCTCGTCCGATGCCGCCGATGCGGGGAACCCCTGCCACAAGCTCCCGGCCGCCTTTGCAGATCCGCGCGCCTCCGGGCTTCGATTTGCCCGCACCTAGCACCACCAGGCACCGACAGGTAGCCCGTGGGTAGGTACCTCGGTGCATAGCGCAGGTCCCTGCTTGGCACTGCGGGGCCATCGGGCTGCCAGCTGGCGCAGACCGCCCGACGGCTGGACGGTCCGTGCACCTAGGGCCCACGCAAAAGTTCGTTGCAATTTTTTCTCATGCCAGCCTCTGGTGACACGCGCAAAGCAATACATACCCTGGCAACTTGCACGAGAGTGGCCGAACCACACACAGCCCGTCCTGACTTGCGTGCTCAATATCACCCACCTCACCCTCACCCTCACCCTCACACACCCCCGGTTCGACCTCGACGCCGAAACGAAGCTTCCGACAGCCATATCCTTCCCTAATCCAGAAGACACCTACTTCAAGCCATGGCTGACCGAGGCGGTGCCCGTGGTGGTGGTTTTGGCGACCGTGGTCGCGGCGATCGTGGACGTGGACGTGGACGCGGCCGTGGACGTCGCGGCGGCAAGAGCGAGGAGAAGGAGTGGCAGCCCGTCACCAAGCTGGGCCGTCTCGTAAAGGCTGGCAAGATCAAGAGCATGGAGGAGATCTACCTGCACTCTCTGCCCATCAAGGAGTACCAGATCGTCGACTTCTTCCTGCCCAAGCTCAAGGACGAGGTCATGAAGGTACGCTCCGTCAACCTCCCCTTCCTGCCTGCCTGATGCGTTACGGAAGTGGGCCCCAGGGCGCCCATCTGCTGCGGAGAGCTCATGGCCCGGGTGTTGTGACCTCGTCGGCGGCTCGCAAACGGACAGACGGATGGCTAACTAACTCTCTTTTGCCCACGCCTACAGATCAAGCCCGTCCAGAAGCAGACCCGAGCCGGTCAGCGTACCCGATTCAAGGCCATCGTCATCATTGGTGACTCCGAGGGCCACGTCGGCCTCGGCATCAAGACTTCCAAGGAGGTCGCCACCGCCATCCGTGCCGCCATCATCATCGCCAAGCTGAGCGTCATCCCCGTGCGACGAGGATACTGGGGCGCCAACCTTGGTCAACCCCACTCCATCCCCGTCAAGGAGTCTGGAAAGTGCGGCTCCGTCACTGTCCGTGTAAGTAACTCCATGCCTAGGCACACCAGCACTCGGCTGGTGACCTTCTCGTGGCGCCACGTCTAGCCCCCTCCCCACCTGGTTGTGCATCCGCTAACACTCACCTGAAGCTCATCCCTGCGCCCCGCGGTACCTCTCTCGTCGCCTCCCCAGCTGTCAAGCGTCTCCTCCAGCTCGCCGGTATTGAGGACGCCTACACATCGTCCGCTGGCTCGACCAAGACGCTCGAGAACACCCTGAAGGCCACCTTCGCCGCCATCTCCAACACCTACGGATTCCTGACGCCCAACCTGTGGAAGGAGACGAAGCTCATCAGGAGCCCTCTGGAGGAGTTTGCGGATACCCTGCGGTCGGACAAGAGATACTAGGTGCGATGAATAGTCCATGAATTGGCGTCTGGTGATTGCGTGTGGACTCGGGCTTGTTGCGATAACCAGTCGAGACTAGCAAAAGGAAGATTTTGGCTCGGCGAGAATCATGAATAACTTTTCACTGCAATCCGCCCCTTGTGCCACTGTGCCTCTGTACCGGTGGCTGAAGGCGACACTCTGCCCGCTGGCAGAGTTACCGATAGAGAAACACGGTCATAATTGAATGAGGTCAAGAAAGATGTGAGAGCCCGGTGATGCTTCCTTTGAGACTTTTATTGTTCCTATCTGTAAACGACATCCACCCTCCCCACCGTCTACCAAATCAGATCGTGCCTACACGCCCTGAACACCAATGAGCTTGTGGTGGATTCACACGTTTCGAGGTCACAGGACGCAACAATTGCTGGGCATATATGATGTGCTGACCTACCTGCTATCCACCTGGTTACCTAGTAGCAGGAAGTAGGGAGGCAGGTAGGTGGCTTGACTCCCCTGCGATGTCGCAGGCGGCTACCTAGATAGGGGTTTTTGCCCCCGTCCTTGTCACTGCCCAGAGAGCAGTCGTTCGGGGTAAGTAGTTCCTGCTTCATCGCCAACTTGTGACCAACCACGGAAGTTACGATGGCATCTCGGGAAGGTAGTGGCAGAAGCAGGAGCAGGCGCAGAAGCAGGCGTAGAAGCAGGCGCATGCGCAGGCTCAAGCGTCGAGAAGATCTGTCCCCATTCTTCTCTAACTGCTTCCTCCCTGCGCTTCTCTACCTCGCCGTCCCTCACCTTGCTCTTTGCTGTCGTCAGCCACCGGGAAGCGCAGCAGCATCAACAACCCTCTTTTTGGACTTCGATTTTGGAACCACCAGTTTTGACAGTCTGTTTCCACCTTGTCGTCGCTGCCCAGCATTCCTCCGTCTCAGTCCTCACCAAGCCGTCCGCTTCATGCCCCTGGCCGGATCGAGCAACGTCTTCCCCAAGATGCCGCCGTCTGCTCTCTTCTCACGGCCCCTGGCCCTAGCAGGTTTTGTTTATGCGGCCCTTCTCTGCATCATCTCCCTCGGTTCAAGCCTCAGGGCCCTCTCATCTTCAACTCTGGCCGGGCAGCCTGGACGAGTTGAACCCATCATCAAGCGCACTTGGGAGTCTGAACAAGGCCCTTTCTCCAGTGGGCCGCCACAAGACAGCGTCGTCGAAGAAGAAAGCGAGCCTGCCGAGGTTGAGACGTCGACCAGCGATGGCCCCGAGAGGCTCGGTATTCCTGGGCTGGGCAACCCCCTGCCTCCCCTCAACTCCATCGTTACGTCTGTGCTCGGTGGAAGCCCTGTCACAGTGCCCGTTCCAGGTCTTCCCACACCACCTGTTGCGTCTGGTGACCTCTTCAGCTCGGTCATTTCCATCCTCGCTGGTGCGCCAACTGCTTTTCCCACCAGCCCCGGCGGGAAAGGCGAAGCCTTGGGAGGACTGCTGAGCGCCTTGTCGCAGGTCACTCCCGTGTCGGTGGCTCCAACAGGCTCCGCAGGGCTTCTGCCTGCACTTGATGTACTGGGTGGTGTCGCAGCAGCTCTTGACAATGTCCTCGGCTCATCAGAAGACAACGACAGCCTTGGTGGTGGACTCCTGGGCCAACTGTCTGCCAATATTATCGCCCCTGTTGCATCGATTGCTGCCGACCCAGCCTCCATCTTGGCCCATCCCAGTGCGGCCCTCGATGATCTCCAGAGTCGGGTTTCCTCAGTCCTGGATAGCCTGCCTTCAGAAATGGCTGCCGGCATACAACTTACGAGCAATGTTGGGGGACAGATCGCGCATGCTCTCGATGCAACGACAGAGGTTTTGGACAGTGTCCCAGATGTCGCAGCTGGTGTTGCCGATCAGGTTGGCTCTCTGCTCAATGCTGCTCCCAATCTAGCCACCGGCCTTCCTGCTGCCGCCCTCTCTGCGGTCAACCAGGTGGAGTCCGTCCTCGCCACTGACCCGGACGTCGTTGGAGGTCTCACAGGAATCCTTGGTGGCTTGAAAAAGGAGCTGTCCTCGGCCATAGTCAACGCTGTGCCCGAAGTAACATCCTTAGCTGCAGCAGTGGGGGCCGACGTCGTTGACGTTCTCCCGCCGGTGCTTCAAGGCCCTGTACAAGGAGTGTTGTCGAGTCTCCAGGACGACGCTAGCGAGCTCCTGTGTCAAGTGTCCGACGTCGTCAGTGGAACAGCCATCATCTTCAATGTCCCATGCAGTTCGGTCAGCTCGGTAATCTCCGATCCTGGGGATCCTGGAGCAAAGACATCGGCAACAGCATCTGCAGCGGCCTCGGCTTCCATCACAGTAGGCGAGACCCTGCCTCTTGTTTCCACACCCGCTTCTTCTCTTTCGAGACAGCCTCTTGCTTCCGTTTTGTCGTCTTTGGGATCGTCGTTAACGACTGCCGAGACAACCGGCGCCTCTGTCGTTGACCCTGCTGCGAGTTCTGCGCTGTCCGGTCTCTCGTCGCTGTTCAGCCAAATATCAGAGCTTTCCCTAACCGCCACAGACACGCCTCCGACTCCAGTTGCGACACCGACAGGTGAGTTATTTGCCATACTTTTGGCCGGCTTAGCCACTGACTGTTCCAGTATCGCCATCGCCGAGTGCCTTGTCCGGCCAAGTCGCCGAGACTACCATTTACCACGTCCAGACCATCACAGCCTTGATCACGTCAACGGTAGTACAAACCAGTACTGTAACTCAATGTCCCCTCGCCCTCTCTTCCGGACTCCTAGGAGGACCCCTGTCGGCGCCCTCGGCGCCCATCACGGGCGCTGGCTCTTTGCCTGGGGCCGATGCCAAGGGCCCCTGCCCAGGTCATGGGTACACATGTGACGACTGTCTTGACGGATGGTTCTGTCCTCCAGTACAGACTCCTGCGTGGCCGGCCCCCTGTGGCTACGGTTGGCCTTGCTACCATTGCGAAGGCGGATGGTTCTGCGTACCGCATCCTGAAGACAACCCGAGTGCGACATTACTCGCAAGCGTGTCGACCTCATCTATTGTGACTCCCGCATCCCTCTCGGCGACTAACGGGTACCTATATGCCGGTTGCTACGCCGACGACTCCACTAGAGTGTTGAGCAAGGCTGAGGTCTTGGAGTTACGCGGAGGAATGACAAACGAAGAGTGCATCGGATTCTGTCAAAAACAAGGGCTCACCCTAGCTGGAACCGAAGACGGCGCCCAATGCTTTTGCGGCAATGTGCTGCTTGGCTCTGCGCTACTCTCTCCTGACCACTGCAATGTCACTTGCACGGGCGACCTCACCAATTCCACTGTGTGCGGTGGCTCCTGGGCCCTGAGCGTTTGGAGCTCAAGGGGAACCGCTCAACAGCAACCGAACCCGACCTCGCTCCATGATGTCGTCGGACGCTACGGCCCTGGCGGAAAAAAAGGCTTGCCAGCTTCTATCAATAGAGCTGTCCATGCCAGCTTGATGTCCATTCCCACAACCCTTGGCGTGGCAAGCCTTGGAGATATGCAGTCATTAACGGGTCGTTCTCGTGGACTTGCGACTTCTCAGCCGGCCAATGCGAGCAGTGTCATGCAAAGAATTTCGTCCATCCTCAACACGGGATCATCAAGCGCAGCCAGCGATCTGATCTTTGCCACGGCGACCAGAAAAGATCTCCACCCCAAATCTTCAGACTTTTCCCTCGGACTAGGTCACAAAGTATCAGGCAGTTTCACAGCGGCCAACCCACAGAATGTGGCCCTGGATGAGCCGGGCGCAGCGCGTGAGGGAAACGAATCGGTTACTTCTACGCCTGTCTTGTCGTTAAGTTTGAAGAACAAGCGCTGGGGTCCGCGAGGCAGGGCTCGTCGGTCGTAAGAGACTTAGGGAACTGGGTCAATACCTTGAATTAGCCGTAGCATTGGTGGCGCGTATCGACTGCAGAGCTTGAAGACAACAAACACTACTACCCGAGGACTAGGCGAGGCACGGAAGATTTACTCATGCGCAAGCAAGACCTTTGACGCTTTTCTTGGAAGATCCATTCATATATCCAGGGTTAGACATCGCTTTAGAGGGGAGGGACGCTTATTGTTGCTATCATCACTTGTTACTTATAACGGGGCCTGGCGCTCCTGACGGCCGAGAGATGCAGACTACGCCTTTCTCGTCAATAATGGGAACCATGAAACAATTGAAGTCATTTACTGGTGATGCCCTCCGGTGAAACGATGGCGGCGAGGGGTGTCGCCCCGCTGCGACTGCTCCTCCTCCACTGTCGACGGGCGAGTTTCCCATGGGCCGGGAAGCCACTGCCAGCCCGAGCCCGGCGGCACATGCTTGTTGTTTGATCTCTTGCCACCGCGCCATACCCAAGGAGATGTATGCTGGAGGACCTAGCAAGGCTGATGGCTACTAACTAGACCACCAGGATTCGCCCCGTGGATGAGAGCCACTGTGTGACACAGGAGAGAGCGCCCGAGCGAGGCTGACGGTGGGGGGCTTGCACGGGCAGCGACTATCGACCAAGCGAGACTGGCAAGTAACTTGTCGCACAAAGGCAGCTCGCCAAAGACGGCGTTCTACATAGCACAGAGTCTACTGCCGTCCCCAGGGCATGCCGGTGGACAAATCTGGCTTGTGAGACTCTGGGGAGGACCAGAAGCAACCCTATAGTTTCCTCAAACCGTGCGGCCGGCAGTGATTGGATTGAAATGCGGCGCAGAGGCTTCCCATGGTTGCCGTGTATCGCAGCTCATGGGCGCTAGGGAGTGATGGGAAGTCGTGGGATCAGGTCACCACCGGGCAACGAATGGCCGTCACCTTGGTGAGGCCGGCCGTCTGAACTGCAAACCTGCTCTGGCCCGCTATTCAATCCGCAGCGATTATACGAATTTATAGATCTCGATGCTCTTTCAAAGCAGCTCATGCCAAATGCCTGAAAAGGGCTGTTCATTTGAGGGAAGGTGTAGGGTTATGGACAAGTACTTGCTCCTCGTTGGGTATGGCAGCACCCCCCTCCCCCCCAAAAGGCCTTGAGACGTGAGACCAGCATCACCATGTTCTTCACCAAAGCGCGTCAAGAAAGTGTCCTTGTTGATATAGTTACATGGCGGTCTGTCCCGCCGCGCGTCCCCAAAGCGAGCCCTCCCAAAACAACCACATGAGGACTCTGGGGTCACCTGAATCTGCCCGACATAAAGTAGAAGTAACCTCGACGCAATCCCACCGACGGCCGGCATGGATTCATTATTAATAAGGAAGTAGAACGTGTCATGAAGTGACGGGTATGTGCTCCGAAAACGACCAGGATCAAGGCGTTCGAAGACGGGAATACGCAATCGGTAGCACGGGCGCTGCGGCTCTCAGACGGTGTGCGAGGCCTGCTTCGCCAGGCGATTCTCGCGGCCCTTCTCGCTCCACGGAAAGTGGAAAACGGGGATGAGGAAGAATGAGTTGCTACGCGGATTCGCGCCATGTCAGCCACAGATTTTAATTTGTTCATACGAGGACGAGGTAGAAAAACCTCGCGGGAGCTGAGTGCGTACCTGGAGTCTGCAATACCGGCAAATGCGTTGTACCAGGCCAAAAACGCAGCCAGCATGCCGAAGACGCCGCCGGCCTTTTGCAGGCCCAAGGCGGTAGTGGCGGCGCCATTGTTCTTCGCGAACTCGGAGCAGAAGAGGAACAGGAAGGCGAGATCCAGGGTGAAGAAGAGACTAAAGAACATGATTGTGGAGCGCAAGGTGCAAAGCAGCAGGATGGTGGTGAAGATGAACCAGCCGGTCAGGAAGAAACCAAGGGCGCTGCTCTCGGTGTTGTCCTTGTAGGCTGCCGTCACCTCGAGGGAGGGCGTGAGGATGAGAGCGTACGAGATCCAGAAGCCACCGTAAGACGAGAGGGCGGTGGCACCAAATGTGTTCCCTATGGCCATTTCCCTACGGAGCAAGCACAAGGATTGTTAGTGGAAAGGTGGCTGCCGGGGGGGGGGGCAACCGCCAGGGCATATTGGGACTCACCACATGCCGGCCAGCAGCTGTACGAGCCCGCCATAGCCGAAGGCCAGGGTGACGACAATGTTAGGGGCGGTGACACCACGGGTCTCGAGATTGATGGCAGAGAGGACGAAGGTGGTCAGGGCGAAGGCGCTCAGGCCGAGAGGGGCCGGATTGGCGATCTTGCGGTTCTCGATGGCCTTGTACAGGCCGGGCTGGAACTCACCACCAAAGGCAGGGAGGCGAGCATCGTTTCCGCTGTGGGCGTGGGCGAGGGGGTTCCCGTAGTTGTTGTACCGCTGGGTAGGCTGGGCATTGTGGTTGGCGCCGTTGGCCTCTGCGCCGGTGGTATGGGGGATGTCCTTCTCGACGTTTGCGTCCGTCATTTTTCCCCACCAGTTTGCCTCGTTCGAGAGAAGTGATTCCGAGCTTTGGCTTCTAGTTGGAAGAAGACGCAGGGCAGAGCAGAGCAGAGCAGAGCAGAGCAGTGTGCGGCGACAGGGATTGAGTGCTGGGAGCTGACTGGGACTGGGACTGACTGCTGGGGCAGGAGAAGGAAAACAGTGGTGAGAAGCGGCGTGGGGAGACGGGGAGAGCAGGACCTGATATAGGTGAGGTGGAGTCTTAACCCCAGTCGACGATCGATTTTTGGTCCCGTTGATGGAGCGAGCGCAGTGGTCCGTCCGGGGAAATACTGTCCTGTCCTGCGCTCTGCCCCATGTGTGGCTATTAGCTGCTGCATAGAACTGGGGCTGGTCGGATGGGCGGACAGAGACTGCGCGACGGATGCTGGATGGAGGCTAGTGAGGAAGGCCAGATGAGGGCTAGCCCGAGGACAATAACAGTAGGGGCTATCGAGCATGGATGACGGGTGTGGAGAGGTGGTAGTGAAAGGGGCCAGATTGGGGAAGGGGAGGGGGTGTGAGAGGTCGGGGACGGGGGACGGGAAGGAGTGGGTGACAATGATGATGATGACGATGATGATTGATAGTTGATCGCTGTTGGTGCTGGTGCTGGTGCTGGTGTTGGTGCCAACGACGATACAAGACGTACTGCAATAGGCACTGTACCTAGGTACTTTACAGTATGTACGCACAGCTCACTGCCAGTGCTGGTGAGGTATGATGGTATTGTAAGTGGGCCCCTCGGTCTGGGGGAAGCGACGGTCTGACAGACAGAAGGAAGGAAGAAGGGTAATAAGGCAGGAGAAAGTTTGGGTGGAGAAGACCATGTACCTGTCATGTACCGCATGTACCATGGACCCTGCACACATGCACCTGGGCCTGCAGCTGCATCCTTCGTGGCAGGTTGAAGGGCCGCGGTGCTGACGGGCTGGGCTGGCTTGGGTGGCATCGCGTTTCAATTGACTTTGCTCAATCTGCCGCCTGGCGCTGCTCCCGACACATACCAAGACGGTATCTCTGCGCCAGCCGCCGTCAAGCTTCAAGCCTCAATGCTTCTTCCTGCCTGGGCGTCCGCGTCGGCATCCGCCTCCGCCAAGCCGCACATGTGCATCTGCTGATGTGCCTGTCGATGCGTGTGTTGATGTGCAGAGGGTGCCCCGTTTTCCCTCGCCGGCCTGATCAAGCTCGCCGACCCGAGCTGGAGACTGGCCGGCCAGGGTGAGTGCAGTCAGTCGCAAGTGGGCGGCGCTCGTGTTGGGGTAACGGCCGTTCGGCAGGTACAGGTACGCGGACAGGTACAGGTGCTGTACATGGCCGTCTTACCATCAGCCATCAGCCATCGACCCATCCCAAGCACGCCCAGGCTGTGCCAGGAGAGGAGGCGAGAGGGGGAGCCGGGGAATCTGGGGGTACGCCCATCAGGCCGCCCTAGCTCTCGCGTCCCGGACGAACGGTCTGACATGCCATTTGCTGCTGTCCTTTTCGCTCTAGTCCCTCTCGACAAGTCGTACCATACATAGTACCCTGCCACTCGCGTATGCGCGACAATGTCACCTGCACCATCCACCACCCCCATGCTTTCCGGCGCAATAAATCCACCGCCTGTTCCAGCACCATCCCAGCCAGCATACCACTGTTCCTCGTTTCCGAAGCCACGGTAGAGCGGAGCTGGGGGAGCGACAGGGAAGAGCTGTCCCCCTTTTTTGGTTCCCTTCTCCTTCTTTCTTTCTTTTCTAGAAAGGCAAGGGATGGAGGGGAGGTGGGGCCCCGGGGGGGGGGGTGAATGGGCGAGAAAGAGAACAACACTGATCGCTCCTGTTGAGTCCCCCATCTTTTACTCTCATACCACCCGCCCCGAGCAATTGCGTAACGAGGCTCAAGGCAGGCAAAGCAGGCCGTGCTGCTCCCCGATGCTCTATTTCTATCACACACAGCCAGCAACAACGACGGACGGCGTCTCTCTCTGATTCATCTGCCAGCTCCCATCTGCCCACCCCCGTGCGGGCGTCGCTGGGCTGGGCCCTTCCTTGCTCCGCCCATGTGGCTGTCCCCCTGATGAAGCTTGTTCTGCAACACCTCCCTTCCAGACCATCATGCATCAAGGGCAGACCATAACGGCACCTGCTTGGTCTACTGCAGCCTACACACCTGCTGCGCTACTACGCTGCAATCTCGTCTTATAAATGCGATCGTCCTCATCCTTGCCCCGCCTGCGGCCTCAGCCTGGATCTACGTTTGGCGCCCCAGCATCAAGTCGCATCCCCCGGACCCAACACCTGGGGCCGTCCATCATTCATGACCCACGCCCTGGCGGCTAAAAGAGCCCGGCGGCGGCGGCACCACTCCGGCTGTGACTGGAATTACGCGGCTGCGACGGCCATGTTGCCGTGCTGTCGTGATGCCCCGTCCTGTCAGCCTGTCGGCCGCATATCGTTTTACTCCCAACCGCACTATGGTCCACGTCTACCATCATTATGGAGCCCAATGGAACTGCACCATGTCCCCCAGGGTGTCAGCCCCCGCTGTTTGGCCTAACCCATCAAGCGAAGTGATGCTCAACTATAAGACGCCCATCCGGCAATCCATACTGGATGGGACAGCCTGCGTCTCACTGGCAACGCGGGTTCCCTGCCTGCTTGGACAATATCTCGGAATCTTGCCCCCATGACTTCCTCTCCGACCTTGCTGTTCTACCTAGGTATGTGCCTTGGCAGGCTTACCTGCGTCCCTTGGTTGGATAGGCACAAACAACTAGGCATCCTCCCCCAATCTTCCTCGCCCCGGCAAGCCACGCTGGTGAGACGGGACCACGCCCTCTCACCACGCAACGTGAACGGCGACTCGCCATGCCGGCCGTGCAGCACGGCTCTGTCACATGGTGCCACACGGGTGAATTGCGCCTCTAGGTATTTTTTTCCTCGTCGTCCTTGGATCATAACGGCAGCAATGGGAGCGGCTGCGCATCATGAGCGGCCGGCACTGGTGCTACAGACGCTCTGCACACGCTACTTAGTTCGCTCTCTTTGTCATTGTAGGGTGAAGCGTTGCTCGGCGCCGAGGTCGGGCTTGCGGCGAGTCTGTACTTCGACGGCCGTGCAGATGGGTCAGTGATGCTTGCGTCCGGTCGGGAACGGAGACTCTGGCACTGGCGCACACATTGCGGTCATGGCGAAGAGGAGGCATACCCATCCCCAGTCGTGCAAGTGGCGACCGAATGTCACCAGAAGAGCTTGGAGTCTTGCCCAGAAGACGTGAGCGGGTTGTCTAGGTCGTACACTCGCTCGGTTATGGCAGGCACCCAGGCCGTCGCAGCGTCTGCCGGGTGCGCCTCACCTCGAGGCGGATAGGTCGGGCACTACTAGGTAGTCTTCCCACCAGAGAATGCGAATCCGGTCTCACCCAAGCCGCTAATAGCTCTCTCCCACCGAGAGGGCAGCCGGCAGGTGACGCGACCCCAGATTGGGCCCAGGGCACGACGATTGTGGCTGCAGTGGTGTCATCCTTGCCAGCGATCGCCGCTCCACTTGGTTTCAGCTCCGGCAGCAGTATATCTAAAGTCAGTCACATAAAACAAGGCGGGCTAGGTATCCGGAAGTCGACAGCAACGTCGTCGCGGCCTTTCGACACTCGACAAACACAGCCCATTCCCAATTGTCTCCGATCCACTACGAACCCAACGGCCAGCCATCGCAATGGCTACCCCAAATGTCCAGAACCTCAAGGAGCAGAATGCAGCCTATGCCGACGCGTTCACGCAGGGCCATCTCGCCTTGCCACCGGCCAAGAAATATCTAGTCGGCAAGCCTGAGCCCATCCACCCACACTCACTCGCTTGGCATGTAGTTGACAGCTCCCACAGTGACCTGCATGGACGCTCGCATCGACCCCGTCTCGGCGTTTGGCATCTCCCTGGGCGACGCCCACGTTGTTCGTAACGCCGGCGGCAGTGGGAAGGAGGCGCTACGAAGCATCATCATCTCACAGCAGTTGCTTGGCACCCGAGAAATCATCCTGGTCAAGCACACCGGATGCGGCATGTTGACGTTTGCTAATGAGGATGCGCATGGTCTTGTTGCCGAGAGGCTCGGCGCCGCTGCCGCCGCTGAGATCGCAACGCTGGACTTCTTACCCTTCACAAGTCTGGATGATGCCGTCAACGAGGACATTGAGTTCCTCAGGAGACAGTCAGCTGTCCCCAAGGACGTGGCCATTACGGGCTGGGTCTATGAGGTAGAGACAGGCAAAGTCAGACAGTTTGTCTAAAAGGAAGCCTCGTCTCAATGTGATGGCGAGAGAACGTTAACTCGGATTAAGCCTTGCCCATAGTGCGTTACATGAACTACGAATCCATTATTGTAGAACATCACACTAGCCAGCTCTGATGTCCAGAACCTCATGTTGATAAAACACCGGCACGAGCATGACATTCTATCTAATAATCACCGGATTCAGGTTGTCATATTCAAATCAGTGTTGCAATAAAATAAATGTACTTGCCTCCCTCTGGAACCAAAGGGGGGTAAAACCTAGTTTCTCAACCACTCCCGCAAACAGGACTGCCCATTACTGGAATCGAACCAGTCACCTCATCATCGCCATGCGTGTTACTAGTGATGCGCTCTACCGATGAGCTAAACGGGCTTGGTGGCAAATTTTCTATGTTGTTCATGGCTCCAGCAATTCACGGATCTGTCTGGTCGCCACCTGATCAGCCGTACGTGCTATGTGACTGTCCCTGCCCACGATCCTCGGACGGCAAGCAGATCTATTGCCGTGCTCAATATTTGACTCGGCCGCAATACCATCCAGACTTGCCCAACTGCGTGTCTGGGCGCCGTGGCTATTGTATGACGACTTCTCGAAGCATAGCGAGGGGCAATTATTACAACCAGCTGGATTCGGGGTGGAGGGGCTGGGAGAGACACTCCACCTAGATGCCCACCTGGGTGGATAGTGTAGCGAAATGTTCACCGTTTCTCGCCGTCGAGGTTGCCCCTGACAGAATCACGGGGGGCAAACAGGGCGGAATACGGTATCCGAATGGGTTGAGAATGAATCTGGAACTTGAGCCAGGCTTGGTCGAGGCGCGTACGTCACCTCTAAGCACCAGACGCCACTGGAACACTTGGGCCCGACGTCGGGCGTGGGACGGAGGTACGATGAGGCACTGAGTGAGTAGCCTCCGGCTATTGAAAAGGCCGGGCCCGAAGGACATGGCCAATTGCGGGTATCTGACTTGGCGTCTGGACGCTGGTGGGGTTTTGAGGGGGACCAGGAGGTGTGCAAAGTGATGTAGACCAAGTCCAGGAGCGTCGGATCAGCAGTATGGACCAAACACGTATGAGAACCTCGCCGTTCCTTTTTCCAGCCTGGCTGGTGCTGGCTCCTGTATCGGTGGAGAGGAACCTTCCTCGTTCAAAAATTAGCCCGAAATGAGAACACATGTAGGGAATAGTCAGGCCTTTGTCTTTCGTCCCTATAGCCTCCCTGAAGCTGTTGCTCGGCCTCTACAGTCATGGTCGTCGAAAAATATATCTCGGGTATATTGCTATGGTTGATACCCAGGGTGATCCACCGCAAAATGGCGAACCCATCTAGCCACATCTGCTCCATAAATTGACTACCGCCGCCCTCAGCCCACTAAGCAAGGAACAAGTCCGCTCCAATTGGTGTTAGAGTCTCAGTGTTCGCCGTACAAGGTACATGTAATCCGACCAAGTGAATGGAACCCTGATCGAAGAAGACCTCACCGTCGCGGCTGATAATGCTGTCATAGACCGTGCTTTTATCGAGATACGGGGTAATGGCATGGGCCACGACGTGGATTTGGTTCCAAGGCTGTCGAGGCCCCTGTAATAGCCATGAAACAGTGTGCTTGAGGTCGACAACGCCGTGGCTGTTCGTGACATGGAGGCACCGGAGGAAGGTTTTATCCACTGGACCATACTGCAAGAGCCTTTGGGTTGGAACCCACTGTTCAAACCCGAATCCAGCACAGCACACGCAAGACGGGACGGATTCCAGATGCTTTGGGTCATGCTCACCACCCCAGTCTCACAGGTGCCTACCTGCCGGAACTGTGTCATCGGGCCCTTTTCTTGTTACCCCCTCGTATCTCTGCAGAACGGACCTCTGGAGCGCACCTGTACCCAGAGGGCGTGTCAATGCAAGGGGCAGCTCGCTAGACGTACTCCGGACCTCGACAAAGCCACCCCCAATTGACACGCTGCAGTTTTGAATGTCGAGATACGGTGGCACACCCGGCTGGTCCTCCCAGAAGAGTCTGGGGGACGAACCCATCACTGATATCTGCAAAACGCACTCGAGATCAGTCAACGAGGACACAATGTCATCAGCTGGCAACAAGTTCACAATACGGGCCCTCGGTGGCCTCAGGAGACAGTGTGCAACCACCGAAGGTGTCATTGCCGAAGAGCTAGCTGATCGGTAGGCGTATCGAGTTCGAAGTTGTTAGGGATTGATGGGACACGTCTGGGAGATTGTTAGGGTCTCGGGCTTGCTTGCCTGCCTGCCGACATAAGTCGACCAGCCAGCAGCCCGCGTCGGTGGACAGAGCAGTCCACCCCACAGCTTGCCTTCATCGGCTCAGCACAGTGCCGCAGATCCATCTTGTTGGAGAGGCTGAACTCGGCCTGCTCAGCGAGCTCTCTCGTCAGGGTGGGCTGGCAGTGGCTGGCCATTTCATAATCACGCTGACGACCAACTGGGAATAGCAAGATTGTGAATATGTCAGTTGTGTAAGACCGGCACACGCTGATTAGAGACTGACTAGAGCGTGTGTAAAGGAGTTCAGAGGTTGTAAGATGTAGAGCGGCCTCGATGAGGGTGGGGAAAGCTGTGCCTGGGTGGTGAGAGGCGATAATAAGGGCCTGGGTGGGAAGACGAAAAGGGGGGGGGGGGGATGGGCAGTCCGCTAATGTACGTATGAAGACCAGTACAGTTTATCACCGTCTGACCCCTACTCATGCTCCATACCGCACACGACATGCTTCGATAGCAGGCAACCAGCAAGACACACGACCCTCCCCCGTCTCACACAGGAACTCTGAGAATGGGTGATATTCTGTTGATACAGGACTAGTGAGCATATTTGTACACGGCCCAGGCGCTGGGGTGTCCCATCCCCGGACTCTCGGTTGGATCCACTCTCAGTACTCCCCATCTCCCTTGTCCTTCCTATATCAAATCTACCATCCAGTGTGACGCAGTAAGCCCCATCTTGTTCATCTTTATTGTGCTGGGGTTGGGTATCAACAAAGCCGCAGTGGCTTTCACCTCCACTGATCCTCTACTTCTCTCCAAATCCGTGTGATGCGTTGGGGTATCTGTGATGGTACAGGACATAGACAAAAGAAAATGGTGGCAAGGTGACCAATTGAGCAAATTTAACCACAAAAAAGGAGAATCCCAATAAGGGTGTAGTGTAAAGAGAAAGGGGGCAGAACGCCCGAACCCGGCCCAGGTCCATTTTGCCCCTTCCTGAATCCCAAAACGCCAAGTATAAAACTCCACTCCCGGATCGAACAAAGCAGACGCGACGAACGAGCAACCTGTCCCATAGACGTAAGGAAATAGGCGATGGCCATGAGTGGTGATGTGTCATCTGTTGAGCATAATCAATGAAGAAAAGGAATGGGGAAAATATCACGCGCAAAAGCACAAACACATTCCCCATCTCACCCCGTTACTCCTCTCCCAGTCACCGTCAACTTCCATCGCCTGACAGTACTATACCGCTATCTCTGTCCTGGGTGCTCTTCGCACCAGTCTCCTGTTCTGCTGGCCGCAATCGTTCTATGCGCAGCTTCATGGTCTCCTCAGGGTCCCGGTCGGCATCACCGTCTGACTGGCCATACTCGCTGTCACTGCTGGCACGACGCTGCTCGGAAGCGTGGTCCCATAGTTGCGCCCCGTCGTAGATATACGGCTGGTTACTTTCCTCAGGCACTGCACGACCGTCGACGTCAAACTCGCTGACCCTGACCTGATAGTCCAGGGCCCTCTTCCCTTCCCTGATGAGCTCTTCGGTCCATCCGAGACATCTTTTCAGGCTTTGGTTCATCTTCTGGCTATCGACAAGAAGCTGTTGATGCTTCGAGAGGTCGACTTGGAGGCGCTTCTCGTCGCGCTTCCTTTGCTGGGCGTCCCTCATCGCGATGGTGCTAGGGCTCATCTGCGCAGATCCTGCAGAGTCTGACTCTGACAACTCGGACTCGCCCGTGGATTCGTCGTCGGGCTCCGTCCCAGAGTCCTGGTTCAGGTCTGTCAGGCCGAGGTTGTTCAAGGGGCCTTCTGGGGCCTCACTGGCGGTGGAAGTCGAGGGGATGCGGGACGAGGCGGCAGTGTTGGCAGACGAGAGCCGACCGGCCCTTGTCAGCCGCTTGTACCGCCGCAGCTCGTTGGTCTGTTTCCGCAACTGCCGCTCTAGAGTCCGGTTGATGGCTTCCAGGGACGCATTCGTTATCTGCAGGTCTTGCACTTTCCGCTCCCTCCTAGCGTTGGCAACCAGCTCGTTGAGTGGGTCATTTCCACTGGCCGACTTTGGGCTAGCCAGGCCAGATACCACGGAGTCACTTTCATCCTGGCTGCCGGCCAGCTCATCGGCGGCCTCGAGCACGGATGCCATAGAAATAGCCGGGTTTGAAAAGGTCAGGGGCGATGGCAAGGGCGAGCTGGCGGGCGTACTCGAAGCCACGGCGCGTGGCGCCGGTGGAGCTTCTGCCACCAGGCTTCCTGAGCGCGAGTGCCCAGGCGCCCTCCTGGGAGCGGCCTCCGCGCTGACACGCCTCAAATCGTTGGAGTTGGACCGGGCCTAGCTGAGGTGCAGACGTGATCATACTGCGCCTCTCAGCTATCGAAGGGCCGGCCGAGGGCTGGGACTGGTACTGGGACTGGGACTGAGGCTGAGGTGGAGGTGGCGGGTAGCCTGTGGCCTTGGCCGGCGATGGCATCCTCTGTGACGACGGAGCTGGTGACTGGGACCCAGCACCGTGCTTGCTGGAGGTCATTCTTGAGTTGGCCGAGTGGGCAGAGCCAGACCCGGACTTCATCAAGCTGGGCTGTAGGTCGGGAGAACCATTGGCGTACATGAACTTGCTGGCCAAGGAGTCTGGTGTCGAAGAGGCGAGAGGCGGCGAGAAGGGCGCGGACGGGACCGAGGTGGGAGGACTAGGTTTTGGAGGCAGATTGTTGCCGTTGGCGTAAAAGAAGGTCGGGCCCTTTTGCGGTAGTGCTGGCCTGGGGCCAGGAGCAGCGGCTTGGGCGGTCCTGGAGGCATCGCTGGCATAGAAGAACTTTGATTCGCGCGGGGTGGGAGCCGTCTCACTCCTCTGCAGAGCACCAGTGCCAGCATCGGAGTCGAGGGCAGTGCCGGAGATGCCCAAGCCTGACCGCGTCTCCCAGTGATCGGCGGCTGCGGCGTCTGCCGGGGATGGGGACGCATTGGCACTTGTGACGCGGCTCTGGCGGGAGCCAGACCTTGGAGTAGCGTTGTTCTGAAGGGCGGTAGTTGTAGCATGGCTGGCATGGCTGGCATGGCTGACGACAGAGGAAGGGCGAGTAGACCTCCGAGGAACAGGAGTGGCAAGAGTGACAGTCTGCCGCTGCGAGGCCGAGGCCGAGGTGGAGGCGGTAGAGGTGGGAGCGGGTTTGCCGGCGAGCTTCGGGGTGACGGGCAGGCGTTTTGCGAGGGAAGGGGGGTGGAGGGGTGGAGGGTGGCGTGAGGACGTGGTTGAGGCCGAGGCTGAGGTTGAGGGCGCGGCGGTGGAGGAGCGGTCGTAGGGCATCCTGCCGGAGGAAGAGGCGGGCTCTTTGGAAGAGGAGGTTCGGGAGGTGTGTAAATTCCTCATCGTGTTGGTAGCATCTTGTCGGGTGAAAGGGGAGGGAGTCCGCGTAGGGGACAAGGCTGAGGCTCGACTTCAGGAGGAGCTGGAGGGTGGTGGTGGCAGAGGTCGGTGAAGGGCGTTTAGGGGCAGCGAGGGCTCCCAGTGCAGTCAGTCCGTGCCGAGAAGGAGAGGGAAATGCGGGTCGAGGCGGGTGCGGGTGCAGGCGCGGGTGCAGGTGCGGGTGCAGGTGCAGGCTGTGATTGCGGATGCAGATGTCGAAGTCGATGCCGGCGTCGAAGTCGGAGGTCGAGGTCGATGTGGGTGTCGGTTTCGGTATCGGCGTTGGCGTTGGCGTTGGCGTCGGCGTCGGCGTCGCACGGGATTGGAGCAAGGCGAGGCTGGGCTGTCAGAGTGCGAGTGTGGCGTGGGGCGTGACGGGCTTGAGTGAGGGTGAGTGATGGGATGCTGCCGAGAGAGGGATTGGTGTTGTTGATCTTGTTGCTGCAGGAGTGGTCGCGATGGTGTTCTGGTCCTGAGATTGGCGATGGGGTCGAGGGCTGTTTGTTGTGGGGAAGATGCTAATTGGGTTGATTGGGAGGGAGAGAGAGACTCCCATGCGGCATGTGTGGACGTGGTGGACGTGACTGTCCAGAGCCGAAATGCAGCCCCACCACAATAAAGGCCAGGCTAAGTTCCTGCCGTCGCCCCAGCTCCCGGCCTCCAACCCCCGAACCCCCCTCGCCCAGGAACCACGGGCGGATTGAGCTGGTTAATAAGCAAATAGCCCAGGCATATCATCATGTCAACGTGCTGTGTAGAATGCGTCTGCTGCAAGGGGTCTATATCATGTATTGCAGATGCCATGTACTGTGCTGTATACCTGGGTACGTAAACATGTAAACAAGCCCTGTTGCCGCCAGCGCTTTGAGTGGCTCCTCGCCTGCAGCAAATGTCAATGTTTTGTTGCAGGTGCCGTTATTAGCGTGCGCACTGTGTTGGCAACCGCACACGTGGTCGTGTCTCACACAGTGTTCACCCTGTCAGAAAGGAGGCACCAAATGCATACGCTTCCCGCTGCCGTAACCCCTGACCCATACCGCCTTGTTTTAATCCCATTCTGCCATCCCAAGGGACCCTTGATACGCGTAGTGGGGCTCCCTCGGATCGCGGTACCCAATCGACTAGGTAATCTACTAGGTACCTGTGTAGTTACCTGTGTCGACGCACAACCACACTTGTTACCTAGTCCGCGCCATACCCAACAGCAAATACATACACGCACAGGAAGAGACACCACGATGGCTCTCATCGGCATCTCGCTGATAGTCGCCTCCGTCGTGCTCTTCTGCCTCCGGCCGCCAGCATGGCTGCCGCTTCCAAATCTTGTCGCCAGCTTCCGTCATCAGAGAGCGAGGGTCGACAACCCACCGACACACGACACGCCCCTCCGCGATGCTGCTGACGCTGACTCTGACGGCGACGTCCATGACGACGGTCAAGCTACCCCCAAGGCCAGCGCAAGCACGACAGACCCCGCCCATTCCGTCCCCAGCTTCTCGCTGTCCGAACCTCTACCATCGGCCTCGGCCTCGGCCTCGCAGCCTGCCACCACTTCCTCAGCAGGAACCGGCCCCTCTCCTCCTCCTCCGCCAGCAATCAAGCCGCCAACTCCGTCCGACCTGATGCCTCCGCCCCCGCCCCGGCCCCGGGCCCCGGTATCCCCATCGACTGTCGGTCCTTCTCCTGCCGCCATGGCGCCTCCTCCGGTCCCCACGACACAAGCACGCCGCATACCGACCCTCGCCCCGGCGGCGGGGAACAGCTCTTCTCTCCGCCCCTCACCCGCGCCCTCGCCCTCGCCGAACCGCTCCCTCCCAATCCCCAGCCGCGCCCCCCGCACCTCTACCCTCGCGCCGCCGCCCACACATTCCTCGATACCCACCAAGCCCTCCAGGCAGGTGCACCTGACACCAGGCCACTCCCCGATGGACTGGGCCCGTCTGGCCCAATCCCCGACATCTGACCTGCGCGGCCTGCCTCCCTCCACCCCATACCTCCGTGTCACGCCCTCGCAGCTTCGCCAGATGACCGGCCGCAAGGGCAAGGACGCCTGGTCCGTCTTTTCCGGCAAGGTCTACAACATATCCCCCTACATCGGCTTCCACCCCGGCGGTGAGGCGGAGCTGCTCCGCGGCGCAGGTCGTGATGGCACCCGCATGTTTGCCGAGGTCCACCCTTGGGTCAACTATGAGACAATGCTGAGTGCTTGCTTGATAGGCGTGCTGGTGGACGAGCATGAAGTCGAGCACCGTGTGGGAAAGGCAATGGAGGAGATGGACTAGCCCGCCCCGACCGCCGCCGTTGTATCCACAAAAGAGTTATTTCTTCCTGTTCTTCTTCTACATCGGGGTTTCGAGTACCACCGGTGGTTCTCCCACGTTGCCAGATAGTTTCTCGGTTTGAATGCGAAGATGCCAGCTATAGCTAGACAGACCGCTACACGGCGGCAATAGATACCCCCCGACAACAACCCAAAGAACCAACTCGGAAGGCAACATGACCAAAACCGCAGCAAGTTCATGGGTAAAAAAGAATAGAAGGTAAACCAGTTGCACTTCAAGCACCCCCCCCCCCGCCTCCCAAATCCTTTCGGGCCTCAACCAGCCATGTGCCACTTTTCTGCAACGCGGCGAGATGCTCTGTCCTCACCTGCGCCTGCCAAATCTGAAGTTCAGCCCATCATCGCTTTCATCGTCCTCTTCATCGCTCTCCTCCGCCGTTGCCCTCGCTGAACGTACCGCCCGCCTCTTGGCTGGCTTCTCCGCCGCGGGCAAGCCCACAGCACTCCTCTTCTGCGACTTCGACGGCAGGGCTTGCGTTTCGTTCCGCGTCTTCCGCGCTGCCGCCTGGCTCTGTCTCGTAGCTGCCTTGCCCTTCTTGCTCCTCGCAGGCTCACGGTCAGCGTCCATCTCCATGACGTCGGGCAGCGAACTGTTATCGTTGCCAGCGTCAGCCTCACTGTTACCGCTGTCATCACTCCCAATGGCATAGCTGTCTCTCTCCTTTGCTCTGCTTGTTGGCCGCTGGCTACGCCCCACTGTCGGTCTAGGCCCAGCCTCGTCCTGGCTGTTCGCCGCCTGGCTCGTACCCTTGCTCCTGCGGCCTTGTGCGCCTCCATCCTCAAGCCAGTAGTCGTTACCAATGCCGTGCACTCTTACTCGAGCTGGCTTGAGCGACATTATCACCCTCTGCTGCGGTCTTCCAGCAGTCTCGCCCTGTTTGCGGAACTTCTTGAAATTCTTCCGCCCGTTCCATCGTGGGTCCCACCGCCCCTCCTGGATATCCTGCTCCCGTGTTCGGTGTTCCTGCGGCCGCCGAATGTTCATGGGTTCCACGAGCGTTAGCCGCCGTATCGCTTCGTAGTCGATGTCACCGTCCCGCAACTCCCGTGCCAGGCGTTCGCGCTCCGCCTGCGCGTTCGCTTCCTCCTCCTCCCGATACTGGATAGCAAGATCGAGAATATCCTCGTCTTGACGGACATTCTTGTTGCCTTTCCTTCCGCCGGCTGCTGCCTTGCCTCGGCCACTGCCCCTCTGTTGTTGAGGCTGAGGCTCAGGCGCCTCATCTTGCTCCGGCGGGGGCGTTTGGTCCTTTGGTGGGGTGTTTGCTTCGGCAGCCTCGAGGCGGCGACGCTTGATGGCTGCAGCCGTGGGTGCGACGTCTTCCATGATGTCGCGATCGGGTTCTGAAAACGGCCGCTTGCGCTGCGACAGGGTTGCGACAGCGGATACTTCTGCCGGCTGCGTCATGAACATTCCCTGGGATGTCTCTGTAGCTACGCTGAGTCGGGACGCAGGATCGAGCTCCTCCTCGTCTTCGTCTATTCCAGTGTCGAAGCCCTTGAATCTACTCTTGGGAGCACGGCGGTCTCGCCTGCGCGTTTTGGGTGGTTGCGGCGGCGAGTCCTCGATGGCGACTCCCTCCCTGGCTTCGTCAACGTCCATTGGTAAATTATTGTTTTCGCTGTTGGCGGCCTGATTTGGAAATTGCCCGGCTGACATAAAAGGCTGGTCAGACATCTGCGAGTTTATCAGGCACAGTGCATACTTACCTTGCTCCGGCTGGGTCGAATCGAACTCCAACGGCCGTCTCAGTTGGCTCGGATCAACATCGAGGATGGCAGGGAGGAAGTCTCTCGGCTCGACCGGACGATGATCCAGCCGCAGCGCGACCTGATTGTAGAAGCTCAGATACCACTCCGCTTTCTCATGGTCGGGCGGGGGCGTATAGCGCACTACTACAACGCCCTTGCCTTCACTGCCATCCTCGAACTCTCCCAGGCCTTTCTCTCCAGCAATCCCTTTGACATAACGTATGAACTCGTCGGTACTCGTGAGGCCCGGTACCACTTCACTTAGGAGAGCTTTTCCTTTGCCACTCGTAATGGCAGGGTGCAACTCTTCGAAGCGCTTTCTTTCGTAGAAGACGAAAGTGTAACCGTCGAAAATGTTCCGTCGTCTCTCATCAGGCGCAAAGAAGTCATCCAGTCGGTCAGCGCCCGGGGCATCGGCCTTTGGCGGCAGGTATCGCATAGCCTCGGGCCAGTTCGCATCGAAGTCCATTTCCAACGCACTGAGCTGGACACTGTCCACATCTCCAGCCCTCGGCGTGGCTGCTTCGATGATGGCCTCCATGAATCCCTCAACCACGATATACTTGCCAGTAATGAGCGCCTGTAGCACCTTGGACGTGTTGCGCCTCTTGCTGACGACGTGTGTGGTGTTGATATGGTCATACTCCGCGATGTACTTGACATCGAAAGGCTCGATTTTCTGGCGGACGACAGCCCACGGGTCTGTTTCCAGCTCCGTTTTACTAAACGAAAAGCTGAGAACGACCGGGTGCCACGTTATGCTTGGAGATTACGTCAGGCAGACAGTTTCGATCGACCAGTGTTGCAGGTGGCTCACCGGAAGGTTTCTCGATAATGGCCGAGCTTAATCTCGTTTGCATCCTTGATGAGGTTGAATCGCTCGCCCTTGATCTGCTTCCCGTTGACCAAAGTACCTATTTTTGTCTTCAGATCCTCGACGGTGACGAGCGATCGCTTCTGAGGGTTGGTCTACAAGAATGTGAATTCAGGGCCAAAATGACGCTCAAGCCTAGGGCTGGCTCGGGTACATACACCATCGCCCTCGGCTACCAGGGCTACCTCAATCGTCAGGTGCTTTCTCGAGATGGTTTTTTCTTGGACGACGAAACTCCCAGCTGATAGAGATGTCAGAAAGCTGGCTGAAGAAACAAGGCATGGATCATATGAGTACCCTCGCCATCCTGAGAAGTTCGGCCGAACAGGTAGCGCTTTCCTGGGGAAAGCCAAAGCCTTCGACCTACAGAGGTTTAGCCATGACGGACATGCTGCCGAGTGGTCTACAAACCTTGGAAAACGTCGCCATCGCTCTCAAGAATCCACATGGTGGTAGGATGCCGACGGCACTCCGCGGTGGGGTGGTTCGTTGCAGTGGGCGTGGGAAGAGGATTGGGGCCGCGTGCTATCCTCCAGAATCAATTAACATTCAGACAACATGTCAGCTGCCGACAAAAGAAAGAGAGAGAAGAAAAAAAAAACCACCATCTGACTGCGAAGACGGGCCGGCAGAGGTAAATGGGCTGGGACTTGAGTAGGACGAGCATCGGTCTGCTGCTGCTGCCTGGGTTTGTTCCCAATCTTTGTAGTCGGATTTCCAAGGGAAACGTCACAGGCATCGGGATGTCGCGTCACAAACCGCGACAGATTCCCCGGATTCAGCTGCTCACCCAAAGTGGGGACACTCAATCCCACGCTGTCACGTGCACCCTCATAAGGTAAACCTCGGATAATGACCGCCAACTATTGGTGATTATTCTTCGTCTTTTATCTCATCCGCCCTTTCATTGACTTTGTTTTTCTCCTTCGGGAGCCGGTTACCTTGTAGAAGACGGCGGGGAGAAGGGGTTTGCGCCAAGGAATCGCGTGAGAGGGCAGTCGAGACTCATGCTAAGAAAGCCATGAATATGCCTTTACTATATTTGATCTAACAGAAGTGGCTTTGTGCACATTGGCTTTTGCTTTGCATCGGTTTGTCTGTTGTGGTGCGGAAGGAGCGTTTCGGGGTTAGAGAGGGGTGTTTTTAAGGAGCCATTTTCTTAGCAACCAGAGTGGGGAGTTTCTCCTCCTCTGCACATCAATACAACCCATTCTTCCTCACTGTCCACCGTTCGAATAAAATAAATAGGCTTGCTTGTCTTTACTCTAAAACCGCGCCGTACATTTCCGCCCGCCACACATCATTAAACTGGCCTGGTGGCGCACATCTCGCCTCGTGCAAGTAATGTTCAGGGTCGGGTGATCTGGCACCTTGGGAAGTGAAGAGAATGGGGCTAGTATCCCTTGCCTTGACTGGGTACAACTTGTGGCCCTGCAACTGCCCGTAGAAGCCCCAGCCTACTGGGACCATCGCGAAATCGCGAAGCCCGCTCTATGCAGTGGCCGGAGCCTCGCCGGTGGGGCTTTCCGAGTGCGGGTGGTGTTTGTGCTTCTTCTTGCGCTCTTCTCTTTCCTTCTCCTTCTCCTTCTTAATCGTGGCCTCTGCTACGAGCTGCTCAAAGGCCATGAAGTCACCTTCTTCTTCGGGCGATCGCTGAGCCTGTGTGGGGTTGTCAGTCAGTATGGCTCGCGCCCGGCGGACAAGTAGCGGGGCGAGTGAGACTTACCTTGGCGCAAATCTCGCCAATGATGACCATGGCCTGCGCTCGCTCCAGCCTCTTTGCCAACGGAATCTTCTTGTCGTTCAACACGGCATCGCAAACCTCGCGCAGCACGCTCTGGATCTCAAACTTGCTTCCCCGCCACGCCGCATTCAGGATCTTGCCCGTGACCCGTCTCTCGTACTCCATCTTCCTCTCGTCGCTCCACTCCTCGCCGCCCTTCTCCTCCATGCGTGCCATCTCCTCCATCGTCTGCTGTGCGTCAATAGCGCTCGAGATGGTATTCCATGTCTCCTTCACGATGGTCCCCTTGTCCTTCATCCGCCCAAAGAAGCCGCCGATCCCGAACAGCTTCTGCGACTTGAGCAGGTTTGTGCCCTTGGCTAGGTACGTCTGGCCGATGGCGTGTAGGATGTCCAGGCCGAACGATTCCATCTTGAGGTTCTCCACTTCCAGCCGTATCTTCTCCTGGAATGCCCTTGTCACGTCGGCACCCTTGTCTGTCTCTGTCCACACTGATATGCGGTCCAGCAGCTTCTTGGCCAACATATCCACGCGCTCCTGGCGCACGCGTGTCCTTTCTCTCTCGTACTCGGCCAGCTTCTCCCGTTGCTCCTTGGTCAGGCCGGCCTTCTTCTTGTCCTTGTCCTTCTTGTGCAGCGACGAGTCGCCCTGGGCATCCGAGGTCACGGTGGTGTCGTCCGAGGGGCGGTCCATGATCGCGGGCCGAATCGGGATCTTGTACTTATTCGGGGTCGAGGTGCCGCTGCCGGGCGCGGGAGATGAGGTGCGGGAGGGAGCAGTGCCGGAAGGCGATAGGCCGGGTGACACTGCGGGTTTGTCGCTCGTTGTCGCAGGCTTTTCCCCAGCGGTAGCGTCCTGTTCCACCTTGGCAGTCGGAGGGGATGCATGCTTCTCGCCCATGCCATCGACGTTTGCTGTGGTCTTCATGCTCTCCTTGGTGGCCTCTGAGGTCCCGGGGAATTCGGGGTCGTCCTCGGCGGCGGCGGCGGCGGCGGCTGCTGCTGCTTCCTCCTCTTCGGTCATGCCAGTGATGTCCATGGTGGTGGTAAGATCTTTCATCAGGCCGATCTCGCCGATCCAGTCCACGAATGCATCGCCGCCGAAGATGCTGGTGAAGAACTCGGCGGGGTCGGCAAAACCCTCCTGCGGTTTGGCATGGTCTTTTCCAAACTTGTCGTAGGCCTTTCGCAGGTCCGAGTCGGACAGGACCTGGTAAGCCTCGCCTATGGCCTGAAATTTCTCGTGGGCGGAGGGGTCGTCGGGGTTCTTGTCTGCGAGGCAAAGCGAGGATTAGCAGGCGTGGTGTCATAGGGAAGCACAAGACGACAACGACAAGCGCTGCGGGCAGTGGCTGGCACATGCCTGGGTGGTGGACCATGGCCATCTTGCGATAGGCCTTCTTGATCTCCAGGTCCGTCGCCGTCGGCTTCACGCCGAGCGCATCGTAGTATGACGTATCGACAACCATGGTGCTCGGGGTTGCTCAAAGCTGTAGTCAAATCAGGGCGCAAAAGATCAAAAGGATAACGCCAGAAGCCGGTGCGGCAGCACAGTGCCTGGGTATCTAGGTGAGGTGTCTAAGGGTTCGTCTGGTCGGGTCTGGGCTGCTGGGTGCGAAATCTGGGATTTCAGCAGAGGAAGTGAGGCACCCGCCCGACGCGGCTTGGGTGTGAATTTACCTTAGGGGCCGGATCTAGACTTGCAAGGTTGCGGCCTGCCCCACGCCACGCCTCCAAGATCCAGTCACTGCAGGGCTGAGCGAGGTCTGGCGCGACACAGCCTGCAGTGACAGCCTGAACAGCCAGACAGCTTGAGCTATTTGACTTGACCACCTTCCGAGTAGACTGCCAGGCCCGGCCCCTGCCCGAACTCGCATGGCACATGCTTACCCAGCACCTAGGTTTTGTAGCGTGCATCAGGATATGGCTCTGGTGCTGCCAAGACCAAGCGAGAACCTTCCAAGGATCCTCCCTACGTGGCCTGGTCTCCATCAAAAGCCACCCTCTCCCACGATGCAAAAATGCGTGCGAATACTACCTACTAAACACAACGGTCAGCAACAGCCGTCCACGCGTTCATGGCCTCCCGGACTCGGGCTGCAGTACCAAAGTACATTTTCTGCTTTGTACCTAGCTCACCTGCGAGTCAGGCACATTGCACTTCTGCATGCCCACTGAGGGCACTCACGAGATACTTGAATCCAGATTGTTCTCATTTCACCGTCTACATGGATGAGCCTCCTCTCGGTGTGCTTGTCTGTTTACACAGTACGAGACTGCAGAGAAGATGTACAGCCACGTAGGCCCCGCCACTGGGGCCCTGTCATGGGCGTCGAGAGGTTTCTTCCTGCCTGCGCAGCCCCGAGACATGCCGGCACTGGCACGTAGCAGCTCACCGTGATGCGTCACAGAAATCGGATTGCTGACGACAACCCGTCGCCAACTCAAACATTCACTCGGGTTCTGTGAGAACGCAGCGCCTGGGACCCAAGACAGTCGCTCGCAGCAGTTGAAGGAAGACACCGTGTGTCATTGCATGTCTAGCGTTCTGCAGATAGGTCCTTTCGCAGGAATATGTGGAGAAGGAACATCTATAACCCCGTCCCACCTCTCACAATTTCCCGGGGACAGGCACTTCATCTCGACCAGGGCCGTGTTGCGTCGCGCCCTACTGGCCACCTGCAGCCTTCATCCTCTCGAAACACTGCCTGTACGCGTCGTGGATCTCAGGCACCTCGTACCCGTACTCCTTGAGCTTGCTAATGAGCTTGGTGTGGTCCAGCTTGCAGTTGCTTCGGCCGGCCTTGATGACCTTGGCCTGCTCCTCCAGGGTGAAGTTTTTCCACGTGTAACCCGGCCTGACAATGTCCCGGAATAGCGTGAGAACCTCGTTGTGCGAGATGGCGCCAGGGTTGGTGAAATTGTAGATGCCCGTGTCGCCATGCTCGGCCAGAAGAATCGATGCGGGCAGCAGATCGTGCAAGATAGTGTTGCTGTTGGGGATGTCGACGACGCGGTCATACTTGGCGATCTTGGTGACGAAATTGCGAGGGTGAAGGTCGTCAGAGACCGGCATACGCAACCGCAGAATGAGGCAGTTGGTGTAGTACTTCATGACCTTCGCGCACGAGTCAGCGAGCCAGCCAGCCAGCGGGACCCGTCATATCATCCTTGGCTCGCACCTGGGGGGGCGGGTGGCGGGTGAGGTGCTGGAGGTGTATGGTGACGTTGCTTGCGACTCAACTCACCTCTTCCACGTGTGCTTTGGTCTCAGAGTAGAAGCTGCCGGCGAAGTTGGCCGGGTCGGTCTCGGTGTAGCCGGGGCCGTCCCAGGGGTGCTTCTCGTCGTACTGGTAGATGCAGCCGGTTGCGAAGACGGTGCAGTGGATGCCCTTGAGATAACAGCAGTCGGTCAGGTTGAGAGTGCCAATGACGTTGGATCGCATCGTCTCCTCCTTGTGGTCCTCGCACCAGTCGACATTGGGACGACCCGTGCAGCCGGCGGCGTTGAGCACATGGGTCGGCTTGACCCGGTCGAGCTCCTGCAGGACCTCCTCGCGGTTTTGGTTGCGGACGACGGTGGTGTGCACATCCTTGCCCTGCTTCTCGAGGATGTCCTTGAGGTGGCCAGCAACCCAGCCCTCGCCTCCCCAGATGAGGAAGCGGTTGGCCTTGGAACCGTTTGTCCCGTTGGTGCCGTTGGTAGCCATCTCCAGTTTCTGAGTCGCCGCGGTGCCTGCGGTGCCTTGAACTATGTATAGATAGTGCGGTGGAGGAAGCCTGCCCGTGTAAGTGGGGTGGGTGGTGTGTGGGTAGCCGGCTTGAGTGTTGAGATGACGGGCTGGACTTGCGGGAGAAGGGCACCACGAGAATGCCAATCAGCGTGAAGGTGTGTGAGGGACGGAGGGAGACGAAGAAACGGAAGGTAAGAACCAGCAGCCAAGCAGGCTGATGATGAAGTTAAATAGGATCAAGGGGCATGTAGGCCAGCTAAGCTCAGCAAGGGAGGGTCTCGACTAACGAGTCTCGACGTCCCTAGATTTAATTCAGATGTCAGCAGAGTCAGAGTCAGGCTAACCCAGGGACGCGCCCACGCTATTGGAGCTGCAGGGCTCTGGAAGGAGGGGGGGGTTGGACGGGCAGGGGCCGTGGCCCGTGGCCCGTGGCTGCAGGTGGAGGATGGACGGACAAGCTGCGGGAAGCCAGGGATCGATCTCCATGCTCCTGTGGCAGAGTGTGGTGGCATCCGGGTGTCTCTGTATCTGGGGTGGCATTGCATTGACAGTCCGCAGGGTTTTCTGCGGCGCTGAGTTGCCCAGAAGACAAGGCACCTGGGTAGTCTGTCTCCATTTGCTTCTGCTGCTCGACAAGATCCCCAAGAGAGAAGGCGCAGTTGAGGGCAGCGTGATGAAGCCATGCACGCCATGCCATCATGTCTTGGGATGTTGTCTCAGGGTAATGAGACGAGGTGTTTGGGCATCGCAGTGTTAATGGACAAGTTCCATCTGCAAGTTGGGCGATCTTCTTCGACCTGCATATGACACCTGCATACCTACCTAGATATTGTCGCGCGCGCGCGCGCACACACACACACACACACACACAGCCCGAAAGAGACCACCGCACTACCGTACCCGACGGGCCTGGGTGAGGCAGGTAAAGCAAGAAGGAGCTGGGGGCATAACACAGGACACCACAGGATACGACATGACAGTGCTTACACCAGGGTCGTCGTGGTTTGATTGCGTGTTGTGCATTGCGTGGCACATGGGCAGCCATGTGCGCATGGCCCATAGTCCGTGACATGGACAGGGGGGGGCTAGAGCGGGCAGCTGGCTCAATTGGGCTGGACCCTTCTTCGCTGTCTGGCCTGTCTGGCTGGAAAAAGGCCCTTGACCGCCTATGCCGTCTGAACAGGCTCGATTCAGGGGTCCAGGACGGCCTCTTTGACCAGGCCGAATCCAGCCGCAGGAAAGATGAGTGAGTAAGTGTGTTTTCCATTTTCCAGCCAGCCTGCCCAAACCGTCTGGCTCGTGGCACCCTACGCAGAACATAAAAACATGAATACCTAGGTACCTAGGCACGCCGTTGAGCCGGTATTTGACCACTCCACCACTACCAACACCAACACCAACCTGTGCTAAGTGGATGGTGCAGTACCTTGGTAGATACCTCTACTATGCTATACATGTCGTGATGCACACTAGGTAGTACCTAGTGGGCAGCATGCAGTCGGACGAGGCGGGTATTCACACATTTGCTCGATTACGGCGCTGATAGCAACCTGAGTAGTGATATGTCAAGGTCTATCGATCTGTTGTCCTCTACCTAGGTGTATGGACAGGTATGTACCTAGGTACCTGACCTAAGATGGGCAGGTGAACGGGCCAACTCCTGGGCGCTGGGCGGTGGACGCCCCACATTGGAACTGACTAACCAGCTGCTTTGCTCTGCTGCTCCATTGGAAAATTAGTGTGCCGCTCCTTCACCTCCTGGCCAAGATTTTCTTCATCAAATCTTGGACGCGCTACCCCGTCCTGCCCGTGCCGTTCTGTGCGTGTGTGCGTGTATGTGTGTCTTGTCTGTCTTGTCTGTCTTGTCTGCCATCTGTCGTGTGTCCGTGGCCTGTCACCATCGACTCTATTTACTCCAGTCTCCTTCTTCTCTCACTTCATGTTGTGACCTACCATCCCCACGCCCCTACCCCCAAAAGGTCTCATCATCGTCATCATTCCCCATCGACTGTCGCCGTCGCCGTCACCAACCCCTCCCCCAAGCAACACCGACTGACCCCCTTCCCACAAAATCCTCATCCTGCCCGCTCAACCACCCTGCCCGCTGCCCATTGACCACAGCATCTTCCTGCTTCTCCGCCTCCACTGCCTGGCCATCTCTGACCGTCGTTGACCGACCCTCAACATGGGCGCCGCAAAACAAGCTCTCTACTTCCTTTTCCACCCCATCCAACTCCGCAGCATCATACAATGGTGAGCGAGCCAACGCTGCCGGCTTCCCGCCTGGCTATCTGCCCCTCGCTTCTAGGCTGACTGTCTGTCACAGGAAAGTATGGCACGACCCCGTGCACCATCGCGACCCCAGCAAGGAGACCCCAACAGAGGCGTCATGCTTCAGGTTCCTCAACATGACTTCCCGCAGCTTTTCCGCCGTCATACAAGAACTCAATCCCGAGCTCCTGATGCCCATCACCCTCTTCTACCTTGTATTGCGTGGCCTCGACACCATCGAGGACGACATGACTCTCGACGTCGAGACAAAGGAGCCTCTGTTGCGTGATTTTCACCAAAACATGCTCATTGATGGCTGGACTTTCACCGGCAACGGGCCCAACGAGAAGGACCGCGAGCTACTGGTACACTTCGATGATGTGGTCGCCGAGCTCAAGAAGACCAAGTTGGAATACCGCAACATCATCGAGAGCATCACTGAAAAGATGGGCAACGGCATGGCAGACTTTGCACTCAATGGCGAGCTGAACAAGGACGGCGTCACTTCTATTAAGGACTACGAGCTGTACTGCCACTACGTCGCAGGTCTGGTCGGCGAGGGTCTGACCCGGCTTTTCGTCCAATCCAACCTTGCCAACCCCGCGCTCAATGAACGGCCAGAGCTCACCGAGTCCATGGGCCAGTTCCTGCAAAAGGTCAATATCATCCGCGACGTTCGCGAGGACCATGACGAGGGCAAGAAGTGGTGGCCGAAAGAGATCTGGAGCAAGCACGTCGACAAGATGGAAGACCTTTTCAAGCCGGAAAACCGGCAAAAGGCACTCTATTGCGGGTCGGAGATGGTTCTGAACGCCTTGAAACATGCCGACGAATGCCTTTACTACATGGCCGCGGTCAGGGAGCAGAGCGTGTTCAACTTCGTGGCCATTCCCCAGTCGATGGCAATCGCGACCTTGGAACTCGTTTTCATGAATCCTGACATCTTCGACAGAAACATCAAGATCACCAAGGGTGACGCTTGCCAACTGATGATCGAGTCGACGCAAAACCTCAGAGTTGTGAGCGACGTCTTCCGGCGCTATGTCCGGAAGATACATCAAAAAGCCGACCCGAGAGACCCCAACTTCCTGGCCATCGGCATCCAGTGCGGCAAAATTGAGCAGTTCATTGAAAGGATATTCCCCACCCAAGACGTCAACAAGTTGTCGGCCGCGGATAAGGCCAAGACGGTCCAGCGGGAACGCGAGGAGGCGGTGGACAAGACTGAGGCCATGTACCTTATCCTGGCTGTCCTCATCGTTCTGGTATTCGTTGGGGGCTTGATGGTATGCTGATGCCCATCTCCTTTGGCTATCGGGCTAGCTTACTGACGCATTACAGATTGCACTGGCGTGGTTCTTGGGGAGCCAGGTTCGACAAGATCACCGACAACCTCGAGTGGTCCAAGCTCTTCCCACCCAGCTCGCCCGACCCACTGGTTGCACCAGCGCCAGGTGGCGCGCCGACCACTGGTGGGCACGAGGAACTGTAATGACATGACAGCGCTTTTGGCGCTGATGAGGGAATGTAAAATGACGACACGTTACGTGAATACTGGTATACCAAGGCTCGACGGAACCGGTATACCAAAACTCGACTCGTTTGCTGACGACATGAGCTTTGATACATGCGAGCCCAGCGGGAATTGAGGAATACAGCTGATACTAATAACATAATACATATCTTCTCGCAGGTCTCTCTGCAATCTCTTGCAAGTCCCAGACTGGGTCCTGACGGCAAGGCCGTGAATAGGGCCTCGTCCCGGGCCGTGGTCTTGCCATTAAAAGGCGGCTCCTCTGAACAACGAGCGGAGAACTTCACAAATGACCAGTCACAAAAGCATGGATGTCAAATTGCAACCCAGTCTACCCCGATGACTGTGGTTTGTGCCAAGAAATGCTGATATTGATGGATGCGGCATTCAAAGTCTGGTTCCCGGACACATTCCAGAGGCCGTGCTGGGTTGGCTCGCCAGCAAGGCTCCTGCGTATGGATTGCGAACATATCCTTGATGAGACTATGTGGCTGTTGAGGTTACGATCCTGGAGCAGTCTCGTTAAGCGAGGACCTTATATCCGGTGGACCCGGGTGAATGTTCTTTGCCCTTCCCCTCCTTTCCCTTTCCTTTCTTCCTCTCGATTTCCCTTCCCACTTCTCTTAGATGTAGTTCTTTTGGGAGTAGGAGGTGTGTGTCACAGAGGCAGAGGCAGAGGCAGAGGAGGAAACTGCTTCGTCCGTCCATGGGCACGCGATTGGTCAAACGCATCGAATGGCCTGAGGTCGAAGGCGAGGCCGGGTTTGCAAACCTTTGGAGTGTAGGATCGTAGATACCCTGTGAGCCCATCCATCAAGCAGGGGCGAGGTCGCTTTCGTTACCTGGACATGAAAATAAAAAGCCCTAGATCCAGCCCAGCAACACACATGTCTATTCCTGTGGGTGGACCACTGCGATTCGTCCCGTATTGGTCTTGAGATGATGAGCGCTACACCAGATGTATTTATTTTTGTTCGCCGGCCTGGCGCGTTTCCAAACTTGACGTGTCGTTGTGAGGGACTGACTACCTGATACTTGGTTGAGGTGTGCAGCCTTAGTAAGCATCAGTGGCCCCTGCCTTGCCAACTTATCCCTGATGCACAATCAATGTTCGACTGGCCACATCGACTCCCTCTTGATGCCTTGTCACCTCTTCACAACACCTTCTTCGCCCATCCAGCCGTCCAGGCTGAACATGGTCCCTTGCTAGAGAGGTTCTTGATAACCTGCACACCCTGATTGACACGCCCGAACCCCCCTCTCGGGACGTGGAGGCTTGCATGGGCCGCTGAACCCAGTGAGCGGTCCAGTGTCCATCCCGCCCGCCGAGTTGGGCGCTCGCCAGACTTCCGGACCATCGATGCCCAGTGTGAGGCCGAGTGTTGGGTTTCCAGAAACATACATCCATCCGTGCTTAGGTCAGGTCGGCGACCGAGACGGCAACCGGGTGCTGCTTGCAACTCAGTGCAAACACCTCCGCACACCGCCAGTCTCGGGCTCAGAACCAGCCTCAACCCTACGCCTCTGCTCGTCCCGTTGTTGCCCACCACCACACTGTCTGGACAGCTAAGCTGTTGATGCAAGTCCCATCTCCTCACTTGTCTGTCGCACGGTCACTTCGCGGCGGGGCGTGAGCATGGCTTCTTTGCAACTTGGTGTCGCCGACCTCCCGGCCACCAAGAAGAAAGCCATCGAGGATGCCGACAAGATGCAGAAGCGCATTGTGCGTGAATGCGGCGAGGCTGGAAGAAACCCTCCATCCTACGCCTTGTCTGAGCTCATTGGAAAGGGCAGTTTCGGGCGCGTCTACAAGGCCAGGGCGGCTGGTTCGGGCCGCCTCGTCGCCGTCAAGATCATCAGCATCGACGAGGGAGACAGCCTTGCGCCCGGTGCGGCTGACACCTTCCAGGACATTCTAAAGGAGGTCAACACGCTCAAGAAGCTCGGTGAGAGCGGCGCCCGGAACATCAACACCGTCATCGAAACGCTCCTCGTCGGCCCCTCCATGTGGATTATCACCGAGTACTGCGGCGGCGGAAGCGTTTCAACCCTGATGCGACCATCAGGCGGTCTTCCAGAGAAGTGGATCGTTCCGATTCTGCGTGAAGTGGCCGAGGCACTCAAATGGGTCCACAAGGAAGGCATCATCCATCGCGATATCAAGTGCGCCAATGTGTTGGTCACCGAGGTCGGCGGCGTCCAGCTGTGCGACTTCGGGGTCGCTGGCATCATTGAGACCAAGTTCGACAAGAGGAGCACGGTCACCGGCACGCTGAACTGGATGGCCCCGGAGCTTTTTGACATGTCCGTCTCGTACGGGACCGAGGTCGATATCTGGGCTTTCGGGTCCCTTGCTTTCGAAGCCGCCACTGGGCTGCCCCCTAATGCTAAGAACATGTCGCGGTTTGATCCATCCCAGTTCGGCTCGTACCTCAAGCAGCACGTTCCTCGGCTCGAAGGGGATCAGTTCTCGGATAGCCTAAAAGATCTGGTCGCCTTCTGCATGACCGAGGACCCAAGAGATCGCCCTTCCATCGGCCAGATACAGGGACACCCGTACATTTTCAACACGGAGCGCGACTACCCGACAAAGAGCCTCTCCATGCTCGTGAACGCATATCGATTGTGGGAAGTCCAAGGTGGAAACCGGATGTCGCTTTTCAACGCAGGCGGCGCGCAAGCACCGGCTGGTGATGAACCCTCGCAACCTTCACATAATGACGACTGGAACTTCGATACCATGGTTGGCGAGATGGATCAGAGGGTTCTTGGTGATAGTCAGGCTCAAGCTGTGTACGATGCGTATGGACCTCGCGTTTCGATGATGCCTCCACCCCCAAAGCAACAGGGTCGTCGTCGCAGACCGCCCAACATTCCAGTCCTGAAGGCTCCTCTCGAGAAGGCGTTCGATCCCAACACCATCACGAATTACGAGGAAAATGCGCGGCTGTTCTATGGCAGACCCATGCCTTCTTCAGCGCCTGAAATGGGCGAGATGGGTACTCCGAAGGAAGGCAGCACAGGCTCGGCACCTCCTCGGGAATCGTTGATCGACCTTGACTTGTCGCTTGACGGCGACAGGCTATCTCGGTTCGCAGACATGGAGGAGGGAGAGACTATTAAGGCCAGTTTCCCCGTCTCAAAGCACCAGACGATCCGGGAATCCGGGTTAATCGACCTTGACGAGTCTCTGGATGGCGGGAGGCTTTCTCGATACGCTGATATGCAGATGGACACTTTTAGAGCAAGTCGACAAAGCATCAGGCCGCTCGGGAGAAGTCAGACCACTTTGGACCGCCGCCGCACCCAAGATTGGTCTTTTCCAGCGGCAATTGGCGAGGAATCCACCCAAGACGATGAACAGGACAACCGCAGGGAGAGCCAGCTTTATAGAAGCCAGTCGACAATGGATCACCGCCGCACCCAGGACTGGAGTTTTGCAAACGCCACTGTGGGGGGTCTTGTGCAGCCTGACCGACCAGAAATTGCAAGGAGCCAGTCCAGCCTTGACCATCGACGCACACAGGACTGGTCGTTTTCGGCCGCGACTGCGTCAAACCCCCGCCTCGAGGGGCAGTGGTTCCAGTCCCACGACGAGAACGACGAGGATGACTACATGGCATTGGACTCTCTCCCCACTACCATGGCAGGACATCGCCAAGAAGACTCGCTACACGTGACACTGCCGCCACGCGCAGCGACCAGTTTGGAAGTTAGTCGGTTCTCAACCTCTAGCATGATCGATCTCGACGCCAGTCTCGTCGGTGAGAACGGCGAGTCTCTCCGTCCCGCGACTGCAACCTCCGAGGCTTCCTCTGCGACCTCGGACACGTGGAGGCCCACCCTGTCACATCAGAAGTCGTTCCAGTTCAACCTGGAAGATTCCTTTCCCTCGGCCAACAGAGAACCTTCTCTCTACGTCTCAGACGACGGGCCCCCGAGAAGCAGCCGCGAGAGGACTTTCCACATGTTGGACGATGCAATCCCACGGAGCAACAGGGAACCATCCCTGTATGTTCCCGATGGCTTTGGCTCGACCAGTTCGATTTCGTCAATTCACGAAAGGGAGCCCTCCATTTATGTACCTGACGAGATTGGTCTTGGCATCATCCCATCGACCCCGACGTCGGGGGACGTGGTGCTTACTCCGCCATCTGATAGCGCCAACGACACATCGGACGACGCAGCCGCCCATGCCGATGACAGCCACGTGTCTATTACCATCGAGGACTCGGATGTCGACTCGGACGCACCCATACCTGCAATCCCGTACATGCCGCGGGCTCCCATGGTCAGCGTGCTGCAGGCAACTGGCTCCCAGGACGAGGTCAAGGATGAGCTCCAGCGCATGATAAGGAGCCTGCACGAGCACCTTCAGTACACTACTTCTGTACTGCGGACGCTGCCTATTAGGAGGGGATCAGCGCAGGGGGAACATCCTGGGTCCGAGATTTTGATCTGATGAGGCTCTGAGCCTTGAGGGGATGGGTTCGTGGGCTAGCTAGATTGAGGCTACGGGAACACCTGGGCCTGCTGATTTTCGCCATAGTGTCGAGTCCTACGGTGAGGTCAGAGAAGAACGGTGGGAGTTGCCTTGGATCTCTCCGTCACCAAGTAGACTGAACAGAGAAACACACACAAGATGACGACGGGCGTGCGAGACGGCCGAAACTGCCCTCGCTATAATATGTAATAATGAAGACTATGAACGCACGACCGCTCGGGCAGAGGCGTCCTCCATTGCTAATGCTCTGCATTGCTCAGTGCCGTTCCACGAAACACGTCAAAGGCCCGCGGTTTCTGTAGCAGGCTGCCTGCTGTTAAGTTACGCAGGCTGATGTCATGTGTAAATATGGCCAGTACCTGTTTAGTCGTTGGCTCTTGTCTCGCCGTCCAACGACCCTTAAGTCAGAACGTCGTATCTCAGTGTGTTTGTACTGACCATTTTCAGCTCATGGCCTGTAGCATGCTTCACACACACCGCCGTGAGCTGGACGGCCGTGGCGGAAACCATCCGCAATCGGCATTGAAGGCCATTGGGAGATAGTTGCCTAGATATCAGCTTCCAGTCGGGCCCATTTCGTCACAACCGACACCGCCGTACCCTGCCTGGTGTTTGCTGTGGACAAGGCTAACAATTGTTCGCGTTCGATGGCCTGATATGCTCGCGTATCCAATGCTACGTACCAGCCGATTTGCAAATGTACGACTGCAAGAGAATGCTTGATCTTTTTATCTTTTGCCTTGTACTTGTACTTTCCTATCAGGCTTTGTGGGGGCTCAACATCAATGCGGCAATACCTTTCGTCATCGAAAGCAGTAATGATAATGCTATTCTTTGGAAATGTTCACGAGTAACTGCTTTCATGACGATCGCGCCGGGCAGCAAATATCTTGTCGTTGGAGAAGCTCGCAATTGGAGGGCGAAGAACCTACTATTGCCCCGAAATATCCGGGTGCCGTCTGCTACATTTTGTGATGTCCTGTGTAGATGGCATGTGACCATGTCGACACGATCGGCCGTCATGTTTCTTCTGAACAGTATTCGGGCGACTCGAGTGCTGCGGGGGATGCCGGGTTTGGGAATCTCTTGCTTATACATATCGAGAAGAGGCTGAGCATGGGGATTCGCCTCTTCCAACCCCACGAAGTCGGAATAGCACGATTATTGGGAACCAAGGTGGGGAGAGAACTGGCCACTGTTGATCCCCGAGTCCCTCTCATGTTTCAGACCATCGGGTCCATCGAGGACCAAGATTTGCTACGCATGAGGACAATGTTTCCCCCCCCCCCCTCTATTTGCCAGATTGTGATGTCGATCCAAAATGTCAAGGAACTCTCGCTCAACTATGGAGAGTGGTCAGGTAGAGAAGCGAACTTGCCAAATTTGTCCCATCGAAGTCCATCGAGTAAGAGATTGGCAAGAGCCCGTCGTGCCTGAATACTTCTAACTTTGCATTCTAATACGGCAGTCGCCAATTTTTGCATAATGAGACGGAAACAGAGGCCCCAGAGAGAACGGACGAGCGTTAGTGACGGGAAGTTTCAACACTATCATACCTAGGTACAAGAGCTCGCTACTGCCTGCTCGGGTGATTCTGACAATGGAGAAGTATCAGCAGATAGGTCTGTATGTATTCAATGTTCGTGAAGCTCGCATCTCGAGTAGGGAGTGTACCACCACCACTCCAGCCAGCGCCTGGGCTGAGCAAGGGCATAGATAAGATTAAGCATGGCGTAGACGGCATAGATCAGCTCGTCCCGGTTGTACACTTACTAGACTCCCTAGGACCTAGGCCGGACAAGTGCTCACATATAACCCCTTCTTGAGTCGAAACAAACAAGCTATTCTCACATCCGCCCAGCCCTTGGGGACGTTTCCGGACCGCCATTAAAGCACCGTACACGAAAGTCAAAGCACAAACAAATAGCGCCTCCCCATCCTCCCCAATCCCACTTCAACAGGCACGGCTGTTGCCGAGAAGTTTAGGGAGGCAGGGCTGTTTGCTAAAATTGGTTGAAACAGCCAAGCCATTAGCTGCGGCAAAATGGCAACCACCCGCCTACAGCCCAGCGAACATGCAAGACCTGTGTTGATCAATGAATTGAATTTCTGTCATTGTCTATGCTATGTCAAGAAACGGATTTATCCATGGTGGGTTCCGCAAAGCCATGCTCCTCCACCCATTATTCTGGGCCACGCCATGAGAGTGAGACTAAACCAAGAGAAGCTGAAAAATAAGGCCTGAGGACCGGAGCAAATCAGTACAGAGAACAGGAAAAAGGGAATAATGCCTATGTGCCAAAAGCGCAATGCGTCCGTTCAATGCAGGTCGGGTGTGTCCACCAGAGGAAAAGTAAACCACTCTCAACGCCGTGAGTGCACGTCCTAGCGATCAGATCGCGCCGTTGTTGGCAATCAGCGGCGTCGTGCCCCTTACATTCCCCAGGACACGGGCCTGCGTCGCACCAGCGAGATCCGTGATACGGGTGGCAACGGCATCGATGTTGGTGATGTTCTCCTTGGCCATCAGGTACGCCGCCAGTCCGGCGACGTGAGGGCTCGCCATGCTCGTCCCGCTCAGGGTCTCGGTGGAGGTGGTGGATTGGATGCCCACGCTCTCGACGTCGACGCCAGGGGCAAAGACGTCAACGAACTGGCCAAAGTTGCTGAATGGGGCGCGGCGGTCGGTGGTCTGGTCGATGGCGCCGACGGTGATGGCGCCGCGGGCGGAGGCGGGGCTGTCGTTCTGGGCATCGACGTTCTCGTTGCCAGCGGCCACGACAGGGACGACGCCTGCGGCACGGAGGGCGTTGATGGCCTGGTTGACAGCGTTGGAGCGCCCGCCACCCAGAGACATGTTCATAACCGACTTCCCCGAGAGGCCGTTAGCCCTGGCTGTTTGTGCCACTGTTTTCTGCCGTTAGCCACTCGTGTCCGACGTGAAAGACGGAGCGGTGGTGGTAGGGTTGGGGCGGTGAGAATGTGTATGGATTTTTGATGAGGTTAGTGCCTTACCAAAGTTCATGCCTGCGATGACCCCCGAGTTGGTGCCCGCTCCCTGAGCGTCCAGGACCTTGACGCCAATCAGAGTGGCCTTCTTTGCAACGCCAAAAGTCTTGCCGCCGATGGTGCCAGCCACGTGGGAGCCGTGGCCGTTGGCGTCGGTATTGATGTTGTCGGCGCTGTTGAAGGCGAAGGTAGCGCGACCCTCGAACTCCTCGTGCTCCTCCATGATGCCTGTGTCGACGATGAAGGCGGTGATGCCCTGGCCTGCCGAGTCGTCAAAGGTGTAGGTGGACCCCCCGGCCTGTGCAGACGACATGCGGGCGAGGCCGGTGGTGGCGTTCTGCTGGGTGACGAGGGCATTGAGGCGGACATAGGCGTCGGCCTCGATGTAGGAGACCTCGTCGGCGCTGTTGATCTCGAGGGCGGAGGCGTCGTCGGCCTCGAGGCACATGGCTCGCATGCTGCCGATGGTGAAGGTGTGGACTGTCATGCTGAGCATGCGGTTGTCTATGGGGGAGCGCTTGCCGATGTTGCGCTTGGCGATGGTATCGATCCAGTAGGCCTCGTGCGTGGCAACGACATCATCGTCGAAGGTGTCGTTGTAGACGACGACGAACTTGTTTGGGATGATGTCCTTGGCATCAGCGTTCATAATAGGCAGACCGAGACCCTGCGGTTCCCGGGCCGGGGCCGGGGATGGGGCCGGGGCTCCCAGGGCGAGGGCGGCCAGAAGGGAAAAGGAGGCGAGAAGGGGAGTCGATATGGGAGCCATGGTGACGGCCAGAGAGAAGTATCAACAACGGTGGTGGTAGTGGTGTGAAAAGAAGTATCACCAAGAAGAGGATGCCAGACCAGCACTTGCACACACAGAAAAAGGTACCTCCAGGGGAAACGAAACGGTCAGGAAGGTTGAAGTAGAGCCTGTCCTCGACAACGGCAACCAGTGGCAAGAAGAAGAAGGCGAAGCAGTAGAGAGAAGGAGTGGTAGTAGAAGGGGAAGAAGAAGAAGCAGCCTTCTGTTGAGAGACAGCAGGGGGTGGTCGTCTGGAGGGGAGACTGGACCGAGCCCACGGGCAGCGGCTGGGGTATCAAATAAGTCTAGGAATTAAAAACACGAGAAGAGAAAAATGGTATGGCTCGAAGGAAAGAATGAGAGGGCTTGCTATTGAGAGACGAGGGAAACAATGGGCGGGCGCAGAGGTGATATATCAACCAAATCAATGGGGGAAGCCAAGGCATTGTGGGCCAGCGCGCAGCGCGCAGCACACAGCACCCAGCACACAGGTACCCAGCACGCAGCAAGCAGCAAGCAACATCAGCAGAATCAGAATCAGGGACAAGACGGGAAAGACTTGGTACTCAGGAGACGCGTCTGCTAGCGAGAGGCAAGGGCCATGGTTCGCCAAGCGCATGGGTCTGTCTGTGATGTAGATTCTGCAGAGGCAGGACAGACAAGCATCAAGATTCGGGTGTCGCAGTAGACTTGGCGGGTGTTGGCCCGGCGGGGCCCCTTTTCGGAGGAGCTCGCCTGGGCGGACGAGTGAGGTGAGGGCCAGCGGACAGCGGACGGCGCAGGGGGCAGATAGATTGGGAGAGCACCATACCATGGCGCCAGGGGAAACACGAGGCGAGACGAGGCGGGGCAGGGCAGGGCAGGGCGAGGGCTAGGGCGAGGGCGACGACTTCGACGGCAGGTAGGCGTTGACGATAAGGCGGCGTGCCTTGCAGCAGCATACAGCTGCACCAGAGCTACGCGGGTTACGCAGCCCTCCTGCCGCCAAGTCAAACGTGTGGCAGGCTGGGATGGGGGGAGGGGCGGTTGGCTTGTGTCTGCAAGTCCCCGCCAGCGCGAGACGGCGGCGACATGGTACATGGCGTGTACCTTTGAATTGCATTATATCGCATGCCTGGACTACACACATGCTTGTTGCTGTCATGACATGAGGGTGAGAGAGCGAGAGAGCGAGCGAGCGGACAAACACAAACAGGCAGGCACAGGCAGGCAAGCAGGCAAACAGGCAAAGCGAGCCAGCCCAGCGCCATGATCGCCGCATCTGGGGGCGGGGATGCTGTGCCTGGCCTGTCCTATCGGGAGTTTCCTCTGGTCCCCACACACACACACACACACACACACACACACACATGCGGGCCGTCTAACTCTGGAGGCCACAGGCTCTGCAGATCTCGGCGACTTGAGAGGGCCACGGTGGCTGCCTGCTAGGCGCCGGCGTCGAGATAAGGTAATGAGGCTCAACACAAGGCCGGCGGGCCTCGACAGCCGCGGCCCGGGGCGTTGGACCTGCGGGGAGAGCGTGGAGAAAGGAGGACCGAGGCAGTGCAGTGCAGTGCAATGTAATGTAATTTAATACAATATATAACACAATGTGCGAGTGGTCAGCCGCCTACTATGTGCAAGCAGTGGTCCACAGGCCGTCGAGGTGAAAAGTCCATGCCAACATGAGACGGAAGGGGCCACGGGGGGCGGGGGCGGCAGAGGGCCGCTCTTACTTACCGGGGAGGGGAGGGGGGGAGGTACCTGGTAGTAAAATAAACTGCAGTCACGAACAACCACGGTCACAACCAACAATCAAAGAGCCGAATCGAGAGCCGCAGCCGCGGACAGATTAAAGGGCGATTGTTGCAGTAACAACAATACCTGGGCAGGTAGACTAGGCATTGTTGCATCTTGTCGGCCCAGGCGGCTCCTTTTGCTGGGCTGCAAGGCACGCGGGCACATCTATTGGCCAGACCGTACCTAGGTAGCGAGACCCCAGCCGGCTGCCAGTCCTGGCGGTATACCGTATAGTGCGCATGTAGACTACAGGGAAACCTGACAAAGAAGCCTAATTCGTGACTTCCGTGGCGTTGGCGAAGGGTCCCTTGACTCTCCTTTCTTATCTATACGTCACTATAAAAATAATACCAGCTTTTTAAGATAAAAATAAGAAAGAAAAAATAGCTTATTTATAACATTTTATCTTAAATATATTTTAATAATGTAAGTTTAATTAAAAAAAGGATAAATTATAAGCTATAATTAGTTAAAGATTATCACGTTCTTTATAAGGCATTATAGCAATATAAATAATCTTTTCTAAGTTGCCTTATACATTTAATAGTATGTGCATCCCTCGGCTGCTTTACTATATACTTAAATTTAGCATAGAGACAAGTACACCTCCACAGGGGTAATAAAGGTTGATTTTTAACTTCTCCACCCAAAGTTGCTTTTACTAACAAATTGGGCGAAGTGGTACCTAGTGGGTCCAGAATTACCAATAGAAAAGGTACAACGCCAATTAACCTTTATTACCCTTGTGAAGGTGTAGCCCGGCAGCGCTTGAGACGGGCGGCGGTTTGACGGGTGGGCAGGTGGGCAGGCGGGTAGTGCCAGATCTTGAACCTTGTCAAGGGGATCGCCGCCAAGACGCAGACGTGGCTTGGCGTTCCCGCATGCCTGTAGTAATAATGGTCATTCTGTTTTTTTTTTTTTTTTTTTTTTTTTTTTGTTTGGGACCGCTGACTGGGCGACTAGGCTGCTTGTGCATGTGCGTGTGCGTGTGTGAGTGTGAGCGCGTGTGTGTGCGTGGGACGGAGGGAAAGGGGGACGGAGAGCAGGAGAAGCCAGCATACCAACCTGTCCCGAGGATGAGGGCTTGGGCGGGGGGGGTTTGATACTCGTCCTCTCCCCAGATGGAATCTCAAATTCCTGCATATCACGATCGATCAGCACCGGGGGCCGTGTCTTGTCGTAAGCTGTTGTGTCGTGCGTGTGGCCTTGTTTGAAGCGAAGCATCGACGCGTGGCGGGCTGCCAAACCAAACCGCTGGCCACACGTAGGCTTGGTACCTCGGCTGCTTGCGAGGGCAGGCCATTACACAAAACACGAAACACAAAACACAGAACCGCAGAACCACAAAACACCAGACACGCCAGGCAGTCAGACAGTCGGACAGTTAGACAGTTGCCCACGAACCCCACAGCATGGTGTCTGAGGGAGGCTGAAACCCGCCCAGGGGCTTGGTCATGTCTGCCCGCCTCCTTGCCTCCTTGCCCCTTGTGCGTCCCCCCCCCCCCCCCACAAAAAAAAAAAGAAGAGAAAGAAAAAAGAACCCCCCAAATACGCCCAGAAGAGATCTAGAGGGCGGCACAGGAGGTAATTACTGTTAAAAATCCGACCGGACCCTACTCCAGGTTAAAAAGGTTGATGCAGCCGCGAGTGAGGATTTGGCTGTGATCGAGGTTGATGCAGCCGCCCCACATGGGACAGCAAGACATGGACGCACAGTACGTAGGTTCCTAGGCAGGTATTGTGTGGTAGAGGATGGACTAACAAATCCAGGACGGATGGGTGACCGCATGGCTTATGACAACAAACACAATAGCCCCAGGTGGGCAGATGGCAGGAAGCCTCCGAGCAGGACTGGGATGGACGGGCCCGATGAATCTGACGGCTATCTCTCTTTTTGTCTTCAGTTTTAATCTCCCCAGTCCCAGTCCCGGCCCCGTCCCATCCGATCCCATCCCCAGACGCAGTGGACGGTAATTCATCATCGACACTCCACACGATTTTGTGCACTTCAGCACCGCCCAATCTGCATCTGCATCTGCATCGGCATCGGCATCGGCATCGGCATCGGCATGTGCATCTGCACTTGCGCTTTCCACTACCACTGCCAGTTCAGTTCCGTGCCCATTTCAGCATCCAATTCCATTCTCATTTCGCATCGCTCCTGCGCCTGCGCCTGCGCCTGCGCCTATGCTGTGCCCGTCCCTGTGACTTCCCCTGCTGCTGTGCTCCCGCTCCCGCTCCCACGCCCACTCCCTCCCTTCCTTCGTGTGGTGACTCCATACAAATTGAACAAGGTCGAGGTTTTGCTCCTTGTTTCCCAAGAGGGAAAGGGTTACCAGATGACCCTCCCCCCTAGCCCCCCCCCCAAAAGCGGCGGACCCCGTTCTAGCCAACCCTCTCTCACCATCCACCGCTTGCCTCTCCATCTGCCCCGTCCATTCCACCTTGTCACACACCCACAACCACTCTTAACTTTCCCACGTAACTATCCCATGCACAGCGTCGCCCCATCCTTCAGGCTGCCCTGACGACGGCCACCCGCTCGAACCAAGGCAACTGACCAAGCAAAGCCAAGCACCCGCCATCCGCCTCTATCTCGAGGCGCATCTTTCGTTCTCTCTTTCTCTCTTTCTCCATCGGCCCACGCGGCCTTCTGCCCTCGTCTCCAGCTTGCTGCCCACCAGCATTGTCGTCGCAATATCCCGTTACCCGACGCCTCCCTGTTCTCGGCCAATCGCTGCCAGCCAAGTCTCGCCCTCACGCGACCCCTACTCTCGTCGCCTTCGCTCTTTTTTCTCTCTTTCCTTGTGTCTGTGAGCCAGCTGCAGCACTGCCCGCCCTGCCTGCCCGCCCTCATCCGGTGCTGGTCCATCAGAAGGGTGAAGACTTCTCTGCGACCATCAACACCGACATCAACATCGACATCGCCGACCCACATCGCCGTGGTCTTCGCCATCAATAGTGACAGCGACCAGACTGGGCCAGGCCGTAACCTACGCTGCCTGCCACTTTACCCCCCTTATCGCCTCCAAAGACCGACTCCCTCCCGTCGCGGCCCGGCCCATCCTCGCCCAACAACCCGCCACTTCAACAGCACACTCATACACACCCACATGCGAGCGAGAGCAAGCCCGACAGGTGCCACTCACCCGTCCCAACTGACTCGATCGGCTCCGTCCTCCCCTTCCCACAGTCATGTCAGTCCAGACCGCGACCATGTTCAATCCCGACAGTCATGTCGGCCCCTTGTCAATCGACACGAGGCGGACCAGCATCGACCGCTCCTCTGTTGATCGCTCAGCCGCCGCCCGCCAAGACGTCGGAAAGGCCACCGTCGAGCTCGCTTCCATCATGGCCATCGCCTCCAATCCCGTCTCCCCCGGCGCCTCGAGCCCTCCTCTCCCCCAAGGGTCTAGGATGCAGGACTTTGCCCCGCCCGCACGCCCGAGCAGCACGCCCTTCCCAGAACCCGAGCTCGGCCAGACGACTATTCGGTGTCTCAGCTGTCCGTCCGAGCAAGGTTCCGGCTCCGAGCCAGGCCATGACCACGGCCACCACCATCACCACCATCACTTTGCCGAATCTCCCATCCTCGGCACCAACGAGCCACTCCATCCTCCGCTGACGCATACGAACCTCGACGACCTCCCTGCCGAGATTCATGAATGCATACTCGACCACCTGTTCGGATACAGGGTGTCCGCCTCGTCAAAGAGCTCCTTGGGCATGCCCAGCGTCACACGAAGCTGGGGCACGGCCTTGAGGCATTCGAGGCGGAAGGAACTTTCGGCACTGGCCTTGGTTAGCAGCGTGTGGAGGGCTCTCATCCAGGAACGGCTGTACCGTCATGTCAAGATAAAGGCCACGGTGCAATCCCTGAACGAGGCTGTGGCCTTCTTCGCGGAACACTCACATCTTCGTCAATACGTCAAGCATGTGGAGCTGTGGTTTGCCGTGTTCCAGCCAAAAAAGAACGCCCCTGCGCTCTCCAGCTCGATTCTCCCGCCCGTCACTATCGACGGCCTGACCAACGCATCATACGTCATACCGACTGACAATTGCTCGCTAGAGGAAGCTTTCTACTTTGTGAGCACCACACTCCCGGAGGTCTGCGTCCTCACACTCGAGGGCGGGGAACGGAAGAAGGCCCCCAGGGTGCGTCACCACATTCTCGAGGAGGGGCACGAGAAGCCCCTGCCCAGGATTGCGCCCGTCAGGACGCTCGTGTGCAAGGGGCAGTGGAACCTAATACGGAGCGATGATGACTTCGACGCTATCGTCTATGCACTTCCGAACCTCCAAGAGTGGCACGGGAACTACAGCAAGGCCAAGTCCAAGAGCTACCTCTGTATGGCCGCGATCTTGCCGAAGCTGCCTCCGAGCCTGACCAGCCTGAGTTTGAACTTGGAGGGGGTCGAATACCGACGGGAGCTGTCCTTTCCGCCGTACTTCCTCAAGGTTTCGAACGCACTGCACTTCTGCACGAAACTCGCCGAAGCCGCACCAAACCTCGAGCATTTCGCCTATACTGGCCGTGTCTGCCGGGCGTTCTTCGACCTTCTTGCGCGGCTGGTGGAACCCCGAAGCACACGGCTGAAGACCATCGACCTGACAGTCAGGAACTGCTGTCGCCATGTCGTCCACTGGAACGAGTCTGGTTCCGGAATCACGGACATGAACTTTATCAACGCTTTTGAGCAGCTCGTGCTAGCGGGTATAAGGGCTCTCGGCAGACTCAAGGCGGTGGAGTACTTGCGGATCCGATACGTGGATCTAGGTGAGTGAGGCTGAAGGAGACAACCCCCCTTCCCCCCATAAACACTCTCTTATCACACCCATCCGACAGACTACTTCGGAAGGCGAATGTGAGTACAATCTAACGCTGACTTACCTGGTAGACTCCCCGGTCCCACCTCTAAACCCTTACTTCATCCTGCGCGACGGCTGGTGCTCTGGCGTCTGGAGCGATGCCATCGTAGCCGAGCTGAACCGCACTCGGCCCGATGCCCAATTCGAGGATCTTGCCGAGTCCTTCGGTGAAGTCGGCATCAACAAAGACGGCAGAATGGTTATCAGTCCCGAGTTTCCCAGGAGTCGGGTCCTCTCCCTGAAACTGTCCAACTACGCTTATCTGGCGGGAGGCATTGCCGTCCCTTAGGCGGGGTTGGTCACGGGCCACCAAACTTTGAGTAACGGGAAACACGGGGCCGCTTAGCTAACTCGAGGATGCATCATATCGTGGGGCGAGCTCCGGTCACACAGCTGCATATGGGTGTGGAAGCAAAGCACGGCGTTTTTGATTTTGGTTTGCCATTTAATACCTAATGATATCCCCCCGCTTGTGTTTGCCCACGATTGGATATGTGAGGCATGGAAAGGCGTCTGGTTCGGTTTAACATCCTTGGCAAATATCTCTCGGCGTTAAACGCATATCCGTGTGTGCATGGCGCGAGGGGCTTTTGAGAAGACTGATGGTGTGCTCGCGGGATGCTGAAGGTTGGCCGTAATTTGCTCACGCATCTGATCGACTCAATTCCTTTCCCTCCCGCCGGGCCAAGCCACGTGGTCAGGAAGGAGTGGGGGCTGACTGGATTTTAATTTGTTCCGCACGCATGCTGCACACGAACCTGTTTTACAGAGAATACACGTACCAATCCGTGGGAGTTCCATATATTTCTGTTTCTGTTCAGATAGACGAGGTGCAAAACACACAGGATCCAAACAAGTGTAGGCGAGGCTCGTTTTCATACCGAGGGCGTTGCTCTACTGCATGTAAACTGGCGCGTGTTGCTCAGATGCGCCGAAGCTGGACCACTTCGACTTGTGCGGGCACAGCTTTTCCGCTACATGAGCAGTTTCTGTCTTTTCGGCCATGGGCCCACCGATCTGTCTTGTCAGTCAACAAGCCACCCGCCGAAAGGCAAGATCTCTTGGCGTTCATGGCACGGTGACGACACGCAACGTTCATTGTTCGGGCTACGCTACGTCGCCCACGATGACCCCTAGGATCCAACAATTTGCAAGGAAGAAACCCAGACTTGATGACCACAGCCCGGGCACAAAAGTGCTTTCCCCAAGGAATTCCAACTCGTAGCCCTGCTGCAGCCACGCTGCTTGCGTCAAGACCCAGAGTAGCAAGGCGGCTATTCCCAGTTTGGCGTTGCGCAGGAAAGAGGAGCGTGGAAGATAGAGCGGGAGAAAGACGAGATACCAGAGAAAATACTGCCCACGGGGATTGCACCCGGCCCTTTGTCAGCTTTGAGGTTCTGAAGTGCGATCGAAAGCCAGGACATGGGTTGAGTTGTGAAAGGGAGAGGGAACAGGGGGCTTTTTCGTACCTGGCTTGTACAGACTTTGTTAAATGCCACGAAGGCCCAGGTCTGCGCCAGCATGGTGGTTGGCAGGTCCTTTTTGGCCATGATCAGAGGGATCAAAACACATGACAGCAGGAGCTGCGGCAAGAACGCCACGGACTCGACGCGCACGCCCCGGGAGACGTCATCCGGGGAAGCGGAGGCCAAGTAGAGGGGGATGTTGTACGGGCTAAAGTTGTGGCGATGGTCGATACGCGTGACGTGATAGAGATAGGTGTGCACAAGGAAGAGGGACCCGTAGGAAGCGTACATGGTCCAGTTCAGGCCCATGAAGGTGCCGAAGCTTACGAGAGCAAGCTTGAGGCGCGGCACGGTGAGGAAAGCAGCGACGGGGCCAAGTGCCGAAGACTGGGTGGCGGGCGTAGGCGACATGCGGTCGTGGTCCATCCACCACACGATGGCCGGGGCGTAGATGAAGGGGTAGATCTTGAAGTGCACGGCCAGGCCCAGGAGCACACCGGCAAGGGCGACCCTCCTCGACAGGACTGCCCAGAGGAGGGCCAGGACCAGAACGGCCAGCAGGCCCTCGGAGCTGCCGCGCGTGCTGATGGTGGCGACCATGGGGTTCAGCAGCCAGATTGCGGCAAACTTCCTCGCCGTGGGCGCGTCCATGGCCGGCACGCCTCGTCCCTTGATGGTCAGGACGCGGACGACCAGGGCGCCGGCGACGACATCGGCGAGGGCAAACAGCAGCTTGCCGAAGCTGAACCAAGCCACATTGACCCAGCGGGGGGTTCCTGGCGCAGTCCAGGTGGTAGGGATGAGAGCCCACGACAGCAGGGGCGTGTAGCGGTAGGTTTCCCTGGCGTAGGGGCCGGCGGGGTGGCCCTGGGAGACGAAGCGCGTTGCGTCGGTGAAGACGAGGTAGTCAATGTCTGTGTACTTGAGAGGAGAGTTGGCGTCCTGCCAGAGGCCATAGACCAGAAGCACCAGCCTGAACAGCACCGCCGTGCAGTAGAGCGGCACCGGGCTTGAGAACAGCGTGGTCGTGAGCCCGGGGCTCTTTGATGGGCCGCGCCCTTGGTCTGCTGGCCTGAGAGGCGCCATCTTGGGCCTTCGAGTGCCGTCGAGTTGGGAGGGTTTTGGGGCGGGACAGTTGCGTCGCGATGAGCCAGCCGCTGTTCTTCGTCAGGGGATGGACTCGCCTGCAATAACATTTTCCCAGCTGTGTCGTCTCCAGGGTTCCAGTCAATAAGTACTAGGCACTGTACTGTCTTGCTGGGTGAGCAAGGGGAGAAGGCAGGGTAGGGTGCGCCAGGGTTTGTGGAAGGGGGGGGGGGCGGGTTTGGTGGGGGAAGAGGCAGTTGGTACAATACTCAGAACCCTGCATTTGGTACGAAGACGTCCTCACCCAACAACAAACAGCCTTTGCTTCGTCAAAGCGCCACCAACATGTCCGACATCGACCAGTCCGGACCACAGCAGAAGCAGGGAATCAAGAGGGCCATCCCCGCCGCGAGATCGAACATGCCAGGCCAGAAGAGGGACTTCAGGGGCGATGCCAAGAGCAGCGGCCCCAGGGCTCCCCTCGTGCGAAATGAGTACACGCCCATGTTTGAGGGCTTCCGTGACGAGCTCGATGAGCACCACGAACGCAGGGAGAGGATCGTCAAGGCCTCCAGGGACATCACCGCCTTGAGCAAGAAGATGTGAGACGCTCGCGCTGCCTGCGCGCCCTGCCCCGCCCCGGGGCTGCCGCTGCCCTGTTGGGCCTGTGACTGACGCCGTCGACAGAATATTTTCATTGCAACGGTTACTCCTCACCCCATCTCTGCCGGGCTCACCGGGCGTCTCACTGACACACCCGGCCCAGAATCCGCAGGATACAGCCGGAGCTGCCTGATCACATCGAGAAAGACATCCAGTCCCGCCTGGGCGACATCTCCAGGCTCCTCGCCGCCGTCGCCCCAGACGTCCAGGGCATCAACCGATACCGCTACTCGCGCAGCATGATGTGCATCGAGGAGCTGATCGAGGCCCTGACCTTTGCCCACTACCTCCGCTCCCAACGCCTCATGGGCTTCAGCGAGGCCGTGGCCAAGGTCGCTGAGCTCTCGGGCCACCCCGACGACCAGATGGATGTCGACGCACAAGACCCGCCGGCGCCCGCAGCCACCGACAGCCCGCGGCCTGCAGTCCAAGTCACCGAGGAGGACTACCTCATGGGCATCTTCGACCTTTCTGGCGAGATGATGCGCTTTGCAACCACTAGCGCCGCCCTCACCGGCAAGATGGCCGGCGGCAGTGCCAACCCACCCGTGGACGGCCGTGAGAGGACCGTGGTGATGGATATGCAGGACCTCGGTAGTTTTTTCGAGATGCTCCCACAGCAGCACAATAAGAGCTACCAGGTCAAGCTCAGGACTCTGACGTCTTCGGTGCTCAAGGTGGAGAAGCTCGCATACGGCTTGACCGTCAGGGGCTCTGAGCGGCCTGGTGGCTGGATGCCTGATGATGCTGAAGACCCACCAGAGGATGAGTATTAGAAGTTTGACACTGTTCCTGCCACGTGTATGCTACCTAGCTGTACAAAAGGCCTATACCTCGGCAGTGAGCTTGGCCACCTGGTTTTTTCCCTCAGAAGAGCAGAGCTGGCATGGAGAGATCAAGATGATACGACCCAGTCCATCAAAGGAACAACCTGTACCGACGGATCAATCATTTTGTCCTGACCTAATAAGCATTACTCCGGGCAGCGTCTGGATGGGTCGGGTGCACGGCAACCGGCTCGTCCATTTTCCATAAGCCTAATGGTGCTTTTCTGCTTTGCAGAGGCGTTGAGAGGATGGGCTGTCCGGGCTTGATTGCATGTGTTTGCGAGATACTATGCCAAGGGTCGGCCGGTAGCCTCGAGTCTCGGGAGATGGGAGGTTGGTTCGTTTCAGTGATGCAGAGCCTTGCGAGCATTTCGCTGGTCAAAGCTGAGATCTCTAACCGGCCGAAATCCTTCTGGCTAGATGTAACACAGGAATGCTCTTTTGACTACTGGTTGAAACATTTATGGGTCCCAGGATTTCTCGCAAAGCAATGCTTCAATAGGTGGATCGACAATGCCTCCCTTGATTGACTTTGCCCATGTGAAATAAGTCACTTGCTGCATTCAACAAGCCTCAAGCTGTAAAATTTCTTTTGTGTATGCGTCTTTCCTGTGAGCCTGAAAGGACTGTGATGACATGAATACGAGCCGTTGTCCAATTTTCGTCATCATCCAAGGTACACTGGCAGTGCAGGAGAGCAGTGTGGGATAACTACCACTTGTTGGTACAGCTTTGGTACTGAAGACAATTAGGCATTCCAACACGGCTGGGCTGCAGTATGGCTCAAGCTCACATCTGTCTGAGAATGCTCTCGAGCTCAACACATTTATATGTGATCCTCGGGCTACCTTCACCACACTGAAATAGAGATGTGGTTCCTCTCATGTATTCTAATGTAAATCTACGTGTATTTCTTTTTTAAGCAGTGCACATGTACTCCATGCACACATACATGTGTACATATACTTGTTCCCCTAGAAACAACCCAACACTCACCAATCACTGAAAACAGGTGTCTCTCCAACTCCCTCTCTATTTAGCAATCCCTAATGCAATATACGTGAGAACAAACAAAGGTACTTTTATAATATAAAGCTAGTAACTAAGGGTTGTAAGAATTTAGGATGATAATTACGTATATCTAAGATATTTAAAGGAGGGAGATTTAACCTATATATATAAATAAACATTTAACCAAGGTTTAATCTCTCAATTTTCACTAAAATAGCTAGTAAAATAAAGTCCTTATATTAATTATTAGTTTATGGCTTAAAAAGAATTAAATAACGGCATATAAGCCGCATATAATTTATTATATAAACCGTCTTTTTTAAAAGGTTCCACAGTAATCTTTAAACTATTATAAGAAAAAACAGAGAAAGATAAGAGAAATACGAAGAGGGAGAGAAGGAGAGAGGGAGAAAGGAGGCGAGAAGAAGAAAAGGAAGATCAAGCAATTGGACGAAACGCGTATTGGTTTCTTCTGCTACCAATTCTGCAGGCATAGCAAACTTGCATGCATGAAAGTTCGCACTTAGCTAACCCATAATTAGTGGACTATGCAAATATTGAGCCTTTATAAGCGTTGATGAGAGAGCATCAGATAGATGATTATACAATAAGCTTGTTATCGGCCAACCCACGCCAAATACTTCCATTACAATTTAACACATACTCCAGGCTAATGTCTCTACCCAGGTAGAGAGTTGGAAGAGCATCCGAGGTGCAGGAGATACATTTAAGAATCAATACATTCCAGGCATTACAACGCATTAGGTTTAAATTACTATTAAATGTTAAGGTTTTTATTAGTAAGTCTCTCATATATATGGTAATTATATAGGGAAGCAATCGTTTATTAATATTGTTTTAATTAAGTTTTAAAAGGTTATATACTTTATAAGGGATAATTAAAGTAATTATTTAAGGGCCAGGGTTATATTTATTAATAATTATAATTGTTTTTCTTTTAATAAATATATATATCTCTTATTATAAAGCATTATTAAAATAACTTAAAATTATAACTTATTATAAAATAATATTAAAATAAGTTTATATAACTTTTATTATTATATTATTTCTTAAATTTTAAATTTTATATTTATTACTTATAATTATTATTTTATTATTATATATTTTTATAATATAAATATTATTAAAATTATTTTTATTTTTATTATTTTTTTATTATTAAATGAAATTTAATATTATTTTAACTTATTTTTTTTTAATTATTATTTATTAACTTTAAGCTAAACTTTATAAGTTATTATTTTATTTATAAACTTCTTTTTTTACTTTTTATTATTTTCCTTAATTAACTTAATAATTATTTTTTACTTAAGCTTTTTATATAATAATAAATATTTTATAATAAAACTTTTTATATATAAAGTTTATATATATTTATTAATAATTTAATATAAAAGATTTTAAATTTATATTAATATAATAATTTAACTTTTTATTAACTTAATTTTTTTAATTTAATATATATAAAAAATATTTAAAATTAAAATTCTTATTAAGTTATTTATTATAAATATTATAATAATTTTATATTTAAGGTGTTATGGGCTAGCCTTGGGTCGTTTATTATAAGGTGTTTAAATAAAGTTTATATTTAAAGTGCAAAAGAAAAGGTTTACTCCCCGTTTACACTCACGCTAAAGCCTATTTTTATAAGGCTAAAGCCTACTAACTAATCATAATAAGCAAAGCCCAAACCATAATATATCCTCCTTCTTTAAGTTCTTATAGCAGGCCTTAAAGGGCAGCTATATAATAAAAAATAAAGAATATTATAATTTAATTGCGAATTAAATATTGCTTTTTACTTAGCTATTTAATTACACCTTAGCGCCTTTTAATTATATTAAAGGCCTAGCCTATTATTTATAATTAGCATGCCCTAGTTTTTATAATTTAATATATTAGCTAAAGCAAGCTAATAAGAAATGATTATTTAAGTGCAAGCTAATAGCTAAATTAACAATATTTTTATAATCCTTTAATGCAAGCCTTTTATATAAATTCCCTTATTTAAAACCTTAAAACTATGGATTTATTATATAATTTGCAATTAATTAATGCTTAATTATAAGCAATTTACTTTATTAATAGGAATTTCTTAAATTTTAAGCATTCCTATAGCATTAAATTAGCTAGCATGCAGTTAGTTTACTCTAAGCTTAGGCTGGTATTAAGTCAGCATTACTTTTAAGCCCTACCTTATAAAAAAAAATTTATACCCCCTTAAATAAACTCCTTTCCCTTGCTAATCTTAGTTAATAAAAGCTATATCCTTATTTTTTTATAATAATTAAGGTAATTATGCTTATAATAACTAAGTTAGCTATATATAAAATACTTAACTTTATTTATTAAAACTATTATAATATTAATATTTATTGCTTTGCTATTTTAAGGTTAAGTATTATCTTCCTTTATTATAGTATTAAAAACGCTCTTATATTGCTATAAGGTAAAGCAAAAAGCCTTAAATATATTTAATTATTCCTTATAATTAAGTTAAGCTTTTATTATAAAAGTTAAGTTATTAGCTATTAATAGTATTTTATATTTATTTAGCTAACTTTAAGTTTTTGCTATATAAGTTAATTAATTAAATTAAGTAAGAAATTCTATTATTCCCTTTTTATAGCATTATTATAATGTAATTAAGCTAAGCTTAATATGCCTTTGCTTAAAAGGGTTTTTAAGCGCAAGGCAAACCTTTTTTAAAAAGCTTTTTAATTGCTTCTTAAATATTTTTATAAAATTAATATAAGGTAAAAATTAATTATAAAAAGTTTTTAGCTAATTAAATATATAAAAGAATTAAGCCCCTTTAGCGCTAATTGCTTTTTTATTTATTATAAACTTAGCCCTTATTTTTATTAATTAAGTTGCTAAGTATTCCTAAGATAAGAGTTTCTTTAAATAAGGAAGGGCTTAATAGGCTGCCGTTATTCTTTTTAAATCTTATTATATTAAGTTTTATATAATTATATTATAGATTTATAATGTAAAAGAACTTTAAATATATATTATAGGCTAGCCTTAGGTTATTTACTATAAGGTATTTAAATAGGGTTTATATTTAAAGTATAAAAGAGAAGATTTACTCCTTATTTATATTTATATTAAAGCCTATTCTTATAAGGCTAAAGCCTATTAATTAATTACAATAGGCAAAGCCCAAACCGTAACATAAGGTAATAATTACCTTAATAATGTTTATTATTAAAGATATTATATAATTTTATTTTAAAAGTTTTAATGCTTTTAATATAGCTTTTTAATTATTAAAATAATCCTTATATTTAAATAATAATAAAAGTATAATATAATAATAAAGAATAATTAATTTATAATTAAGTTTACTTAAGAAAAAAGAATGGAAAAGGAAGAATTGTTAAAAGGGTAGATTAAAGTGGTTTTAAAGGCTAGTTAGGCTAATAAGATAAGCTAATTAAACGGGCCCGGAGGGCTCCTGTGCATAATTAACCCCACGGCCTTAATAATTATATTATTAAATATATTTACTTATTTTAATATTAAAAGTTATTAATAATTTAAATAATAATAATAATAATTATTTTATTAAAAAAGAATATTTTAATTTAAGTTATAGCTTTAACTTTTAACTTATTAATCTTAATAATTTCTTAAAAGTTAAGCTTTATAAATATTTTTTTTTAATTTTCTTTATAAATTATTTATATTATTTAAGTTTCTTTATTAAGTTAAAATAATAATTTTTATTTATTAAAATAAGAAATAATATAAATTATAAATAATTATAATTAAATTTATTATATAAAGCTTTAAATATTAATTATTTAATTTTTTATAAATTAATATTATATTAAAAGCTATTAATTTATATTAAAAGTTTTAATATTAAGTTATTAAGAAAATATATATTAATTAAGTTAATGTAT